AAGAAGAAGAAGAAGGTAGCGGGAGGGGAAGAATGAAGCGGGGGAAATCGGAGGGGTAGACGAACCATGAGAGACGATGGACTCTGAAAAACAAACAGGGTTCTAGAGGGGAGGGGGGTGGGAGGATGGGTTAGCCTGGTGGTGGGTATTTAGGAGGGCACATTCTGCATGGAGCACTGGGTGTTATGCACAAACAATGAATCATGGAACACTTCATCTAAAACTAATGTTGTAATGTAAGGGGATTAACATAAGAATAAAAAAATTAAAAAAAAAAAAAAAAAAAAAAAGTCAGTTACTTTGTAATGGCCCAAAGTGGAAGTTTTATAGTTGTGACTGTTTAATTAAAATTGAAAACACACACACAAAAAAAAAAAAAAAAAAAAAAAGATTGAGCTATGTAGCTATATTTGGCACTAGTTTATTCTTTTTCATTGCTGTATAGTATTCCACTGTGTGACTCTCTATATAGATTTTTATATATATAAATACGTATGTGTACATATGTGTACATATACACATTCTACTACTGACAGCCATTAGGGTTGTTTCAGATTTTGACTACTATCAGTAAAGCTGCTAGGAATATTGTTATTGTGTCTTCTGGTAGACATAAGCACTCATTTTTATTCCATATTAAGCCAAGAGTGGAACTGCTGAATCATGACATATATGTATGTTCAGCTTTAATAGATACTGCCAAACATATTCCAAAGTGTTTGTGCCAATTTATGATTGCACCAATGATTATATGAGAGTTCAAATTGCTCCATATTTGCTGAAAAACAAGACTTGTCAATATTTGCTGTTTTTAACTTAATTTTAGCCATTCTGATGCATGTATAATTGTATTTCATGGTTTTAATTTGCCTTTCCCTGATGAGTAATAATATCAATCTTCTTTTATGCTTATTAGTCATTAGGATATACTCTTTTGTGATGTGCCTATTCAAATCTTTTGCTCATTTTTCCCTAAAATGGTTGTCTTTTTTCCTATTGATTTGTAAAAGTTCTTTATATATTTTAGATATTTCTTTGTTAGATATATGTATAGAAAATATATTCTCCCAAGATGTGGCTTGCCTTTTGACTCTTAATGGTATCTTTTAATGAAAAGAGACTATAATTTTCATGAAATTCAATTTATCAGTTTATGATTAGTGATTTTTATGGCATTTCCCCCACCGCCCCCCGGGGAGTAGGTGACACAGGAAGCAGTAGACTTGGGGGAGGGGGCATGTGGAGCACAGCCAAATCCACATTTACCCACCTACCAGATATAGATGTCAATTCAAGCATAATAATGTTAGATTATTAATTTCTATGAACAAAAACCTGCTGGAATTTTTCTTGAGATTGCACTGAATCTACAGATATAGGAAGAACTTGCATCTTAACTCTTTTGAATCTTCCAATCCATGATGATGGTGTATGTCTCTATTCCCCATTTATTTAAGTCTTTAATTTCTCTCAACAATGTTTTACAGTCTTCAACATAGAAGTCTTCTTGCTCATATTTCATTAGACGTATTTCTTGATTTTGATGTTTTTGATGTTATTACAAATGATTTAAATTTTTCCCAATTGTTTGCTGCTAGTACAAAGAAATACAATGGATCTTCTTGACCTGTACCCTGTGACTTTGCTAAAATTCACTTATAAATTCTATTAGTTTGTAGATTACTTTGGATTATCTACATACAGAAACTTGACATCTATAAGTAGTAGAGTTTGCTTCTTCCTTTCTAATCGCTATGCTTTTTTTTTTTTTTAAAGCTTTTATTTATTTATTTGACAGAGAGAGACACAGCGAGAGAGGGAACACAAGCAGGGGGAATGGGAGAGGGTGAAGCAGGCTTCCTGCAGAGCAAGGAGCCCAATGCAGGGCTCGATCCCAGGATCCTGGGATCATGACCTGAGCTGAAGGCAGATGCTTAGCGACTGAGCCACCCAGGTGCCCCTCTAATCTCTATGCTTTTATTTTCTTTTTCTTGCCTTTATTGAACTGGCTACAACTTCAAGTTCCATTAAATACTGTTGAATAGAAGTATGATAGTGAAAATATGTGTCCTGTTCCTGACCTCAATGGGAAAAGGTTAATATTTCACTATTAGGTGCAATGTTAGCTATAGTTTTTTTAAAGATATTCCTTGCTTGCTAAGAGCTTTATCATACTATTATGAATTTTTATCACAGTATTGAATTTTATCAAATGCTGTACCTATTGAGATGATCATATGAGTTACCTATGTTCCATTCATAATACCCTTGATTTTAAACTTTGAGATATAAATTCACATGCAATTGTAATGGGCATTAAGGAGGGCACGTGATGTGATGAGCACTGGGTGTTATACGCAACTGATGAATCATTGAACACTGCATCTGAAACTAATGATATGTTGGCTAATTGAATTTAAATTAAATTTAAAAAGATAATATGACTTCTTTGCAGAAATGTCTGTTCATGTCTTCTGCCTATTTCTTTATTGGATTATTTGTTCTTTGGGTGTTGAGTTTGAGAAGTTCTTTATAGATTTTGGATACTAGCCCTTTATCTGATATGTCATTTGCAAATATCTTCTCCCATTCTGTCGGTTGTCTTTTGGTTTTGTTGACTGTTTCCTTTGCTGTGCAAAAGCTTTTTATCTTGATGAAGTGCCAATGGTTCATTTTTGCCCTTGCTTCCCTTGCCTTTGGCGATGTTTCTAGGAAGAAGTTGCTGTGGCTGAGGTCGAAGAGGTTGCTGCCTGTGTTCTCCTTTAGGATTTTGATGGGTTCCTGTCTCACATTTAGGTCTTTCATCCATTTTGAGTCTATTTTTGTGTGTGGTGTAAGGAAATGGTCCAGTTTCATTCTTCTGTATGTGGCTGTCCAATTTTCCCAACACCCTTTGTTGAAGAGACTTTTTTCTGTTGGACATTCTTTCCTGCTTTGTCAAAGATTAGTTGACCATAGAGTTGAGAGTCCATTTCTGGGCTCTCTATTCTGTTCCATTGATCTATGTGTCTGTTTTTGTGCCAGTACCATGCTGTCTTGATGATGACAGCTTTGTAATAGAGCTGGAAGTCCAGAATTGTGATGCCGCCAGCTCTGCTTTTCTTTTTCAACATTTCTCTGGCTATTCGGGGGTCTTTTCTGGTTCCATTCAAATTTTAGGATTATTTGTTCCATTTCTTTGAAAAAAGTGGATGGTATTTTGATAGGGATTGCATTAAATGTGTAGATTGCTCTAGGTAGCATAGACATTTTAACAATATTTGTTCTTCTAATCCATGAACATGGAACGTTTTTCCAAGATGAAACCAGAGAGGGAGACAAACCATAAGAAACTCTTAATCTCAGGAAACAACCTGAGGGTTGCTGGAGTGGAGCGGGGGTGGGAGGGATGGGGTGGCAGGATGATGGACATTGGGGAGGGTGTGTGCTGTGGTGAGCGCTGTGAATTGTGTAAGAGTGATCAATCACCTGTACCCCTGAAACAAATAATTCATTATATGTTAATTTAAAAAAAGATAATATGAACAGATAGCATGTACTCTCTATCCAATTTATGTAATTTTTTAAAATTATAGTATAATATCACAAGCAGGATATTGACATTGATTTAATCCACTGGTTCTGTTTGTATTTCCACTCTGATTTCTGAATGTTAAACCAAACTTGCATTCTTTATTCATGAAATATGTATAACTGGATTCAATAAGCTAATATTTTATGGGGATTTTGCATCTATATTCATGAAGATATTGGCCGTAATTTTCTTTTCTTGTAATGACTTGCCAGGTTTTGGTGTTAGGATTATATTGGCCTCATGGGATGATTTGGAAGTGTTTCTTTTTTCTCTATTCTTTGAATGAGTTTGTGTATGTTTGCTACTACATCTTTTTGAAATCTTTGGAGAAATTCACCAGTAAAGCAAGCCATCTTGGTTTGAAATTTTCCTTGTGGGAAAATTTTAAGTACAGATTAGATCTTTTTTTATAGATTGGGGACTATTCAGAATTTTTGTTTCCTCCTGAAAGAAATGTTTTTCAAGAAATGTTTCCATTTCATCAAAGTTGTCAACTTTATTGAGAAAGTTTTTTCCTTTAATTTCCTCTTACGATATTTTTCATAATGTTAGTAAAATCTGTAGTGATATTTCCTTTTTCATTTGTTTTTTGTTTTCTTTTTTGATTAGTCTTACTAGGGGTTATCGACTTTAATTAACCCTGCAAACTGGCTTTTGGCTTTGTTGCTTTTCTCTTTATCTTTGGCCTTATATTTAAAAGATATTCCTTGTAGAAAGCTTTATAAGTAAATGTAGCTTTAAAATGGAAGGTTGATGTCAAATTCAGGCACAGTCATAGCCTTGGCTTGTGGCACTCATAAGAGGAAGTAGTAATGGTCTTGAACAGGGACTCAGCAGTTTAGACTTTTTTTTTTTTTTTTAAGATTTATTTATTTGAGAGAGAGGGGGTCGGGGGGCAGAGGGAAAGGGAGAGAGAGAATCCCAAGCAGACTCCCTACCAAGCCTGGAGCCCAACGCATGGCTCAATGTGGGGCTTGATGTGGGGCTGGACACGGCACTCCACACAGGGCTCCACATGGGTCTCTATCACAGGACCCTGAGATCATGACCTGAGCCGAAATCATGAGTCTGCTGCTTAACCAACTGAACCACCCAGGTGCCCCCAGCAGTTTAGACTTAACAGAACTGAGAGGAGAGGGATCTCACTCTTGGAATATTTTTATATAATAAATTACCACTCTCAAATTCATTTGTTTCTAAAGTGCTTTATATTTATTATAAATAGTGTTAGGTTAAAGAAGAATAGGCTTGAATTGTGGACTGGCTGTCTATCATTCAGCATTCTCAGAGGCAAAGCTGTGTAGTCAGTGCTGAATTTGTCTTAGAAAGCTTCTAACTGAGCTGTTTCATATTGGAACCATAGATGAAGCAGCAGATTTTAAGTGGTAAGGAGACTCATCTTGGGCCCATTATCATTTTTCTGAATACTTGGATATGGAAATATAAAGTGTACTCTCATTTTTGTCATGCAGGTAAATGAACAGCTTGGAACTTTGATTTTAAATGCCATTATGACCTTTAGAAATAACAACGGGCTTAAAAACAAACCAAAGTGTAAATAAAATGGGCAAATAATACACTTCAGTTCCCAATGAACATTTATTTATAAGGAAAAGTTATTTTTACTTTGCAGCATTTGGTCTTAGAGAAAAGACTTCATCATTTTATATGTGATGCGGCTTTCTGGGCTCCTGACATCTTCATAGCATTTGACTGGAATTTCTTTCTCTTGAAAATGAATGGGCATTTTCTTGCTCTCCACACTCATGAGCTTCACTTGCAAGGGACCCAGGTTTACATAATCCTATGGTGAACAGACACATAAGAGAATAGGAGAGGTTATCCAACAAGTTACCAGTCTTAATAGTTAGGTTTCCTTTATATAGTTGGCTTTTATCTGACAGATTTCATTGTCCTCTTAATTGCCTGAATAACATGTGAAATATGTTTATATACCCAGTGGGGTATGGTAGGCAAGATCTCCCAAAGAGCAAGCGGCAAGGCCAACAGGCTTGTCTTTTGGGGAGTAGGGCGGAGGGCACCAATTAGAGTGGGGAAATACATTCTCTCAAAGTCTTTAATTGGTAGAAGAAAGTGTTGGCTGTATATATGTAGCCCTCTGCTGGCCAGGATATAACCACAGCAGACTTTTCTATATTATTCAAGAACAATGGGAAGGATTTGTAAACATCACTTTGACTATATATATATTCTAATATTAAGCAAATTCTCCATGAATTTTTCACTTTTCACAGGACCATTGCCTACTGTATAGGTAAAACGGACCATATTCTGCCAAACTAACTATAGTTTAAGATATCAGCAAATGGAATTAGAAATGTAATTTACATGAAATACCAGCCAACCCAATACTGGGTTGAAACAGCTCAGACCCTACCCAGCATACCTTCCTCTTAGAAGCCTCCTCAAGCCATAACTCTCTCTTTTGAATTCCTTCAACATTTCAGCAAACCTTTCCTGAGTGCCCACTTTGTACCAGGCCCTGTAACCAAGTGCTGAGGTGCAATGATAAGGTCACAGACCGACTGGTCAGGGAGACAGATACAGGTGCTACATTCCTCTTGTACAGTAATTAGTGATTTTCTAATCTGTCTTCTAGCATGTAAACAATTTGAGGGGAGGGCCTGCCATATAGGCATCTTTGAAACTTCATTTCTTCCTGTTCTCCCCATAAATTCCCAAACATCTAACAAGTACCTGGCATGTTGTGGGGTTTTCGAGAAACATTTATTAGAATTTAGGAAAATCACAGAATGAAAAAGGAAGACATTGTTTTATTTCTCAAAAATGCATATAGTTGTATTTACTGTGTTTTTTTTTATTTACTGTGTTTTTAAAATATGTAATTATAGAGCTGCAATAAATGTAAGATAGGAGAAAAACAAATTGATGGATGTCTCCAACATATTTCAGAGTCTGCTCAAGCTGTTATGACAAAATATCATAGACCAACTGGCTTACACAGCAGACATTTAGTTCTCACAGTCTGGAGACTGGGAAATTCAAGATCAGGGTGCCAGCATGGTTGAGTTCTGGTAAGCGTTCTCTTTCTGGCTTGCAGATGGTTGCCTTCTCGCTGTGTCCTTACAAGACAGAGCCTCTTCTTACAAGCCACAGTTCCATCAGATTGGGGCTCCATCGTTTTGGCCTCATTTAACCTTAATTACCTCCTAAAGGCCCTATCTCTAGATTAGGTGTTAGGGTTTCAACATGTGAATTTGGTGGGTGTAGGAGTGGGGATGGGGATCCAGTTCAGTCCATAGCATACACAGTGCCATTTCCACCATCAAAAACCTCCATGGAAAGTAAGAAGGTCTTTCATTCACCCAAATGGTATGTGATTTTGGAATTTTGTAGACAACTGTCCACTAGCCTGAGGTCATAACATACCAAGTGTCATGATTTCAAGACCCCCATGGGGGTGTTTGAATGCCATAGAGACTAGAACTTCAGTCTTTAAATTGTCACTTGATGTTAGCAGGACTGAGTTGTGGTTATCTAAAATGGCTTTTATTGATTTTTTCAGTTTCTTCTGTTTTCATACAGCACTCTTTCTCCTACCAGACTTTAAGTTCTAGGAGAATTTTTAAAGTTACTGGTAGTACCAAGAATGAAAATGTCAAGGGGTGGATATGGGAGTAATTGGAATGTACCAAAAAGGTTTTAAAATTAGAAAGCCTTGATACTCCAGTTTTCACCTAATATGGTATATGGCAGTTTGTACTTTCCAAAGAGGGCCACACTAATAGATATCCTGTCCCACATGCCTTTCCTACAGTGTGGTGCTCCTTCCTCTTCCAGATGCAGGAGCTACATTCCCTCCCCTTGGGTGGAACTTTGTAACTACATCAACCAATAGAATATGAGGGAAGGGATGGTGTATGATTTCCAAATCTAAGTCATATAAAATATTGCAGCTTTCACCATGGTCTCTGGTATTGCTTGTTTTGGGAGAAGGCAGACACCATAACAGAAACAATAAAGGCAACCCATGGAGAAGCCCATGTGAAGAACAGATGCTCCCAGCTTAGCCAGCATTAACTTGCCAGCCATGAGTGAGCCACCTTGGAAGTAGATCCTCCTGCCCCAATCAAGCCTTCAGATGACTGTTGCCCCTGCTGACATATGATTGCAACTGCCTGAGGGCCCAAGTGAGCACTGTCCATTGGAGCCTTTCCCAAATTCCTAACCAACAGAAGCCATGGAAGAGAATAAATGATAATTGTTATAAGCCACTAAGTTTGGAGGTAATTTGTTATACAGCATTAGATAACTTACATGGTATACTAGGAATGTAACTCTGTTAATGAATATATATAGCAAATTGCACAAGGGTAGAAGTGAAAATTCTATCTAATGAGAGATGTGAATGGTGGGCAAATTTTACTAATAAGTGCAAATAGAATTTTTCAGTATCGATGTTTTAGGTTAATTTTCTCTATTAATTAATAAAACGGCATTCTCTTAGTACTCAAAATTTTTTTCATGAATCTTACCTTGAAATCCTTCTCATCCTCATATAGTAAGTATTTCATATCAGAGGTCCCAAAGTCTACACATGAGTTGTTTTCTTCATCTGTCTTCAGTTGCTTGGCATATCCACTACCATGCTCATGACTGACATATAAAGCACCGCTCTCCACTGATGAGCTTGTGATGTCTCTACCTTTTACTTCTGCAGGTTGCAATGTTGGGATGAATACAAAGAAATTGGTTATTTGGGGACAGATAAAAATGAAAATACATTACACACTTTGTCACACTTTTAATTTGAAAGAGCTTTGAGAAATGTAGGATCTATGTATTAAGGTGAGAGTGAGTCCCATGTTTAGAATCTCTATCTAAGTTGTATTCCCTTCTGTTAGTGGATAGCTTTTGGTAATCATATGGTAACTTATGTGCATGTTGGTATTTTGGTTGGTTGACTGAACTGGAACCAAAAACACACCAGTGTAGACAGCACCCCATCCCTCCCCATCAGTATTTATGTAGTTCACTGTGAAACATGGTGACTTCAGTTTGAAAATAGGACTAGAGAAAGCTGCAAGAAGAGAAATATGGAGGAGCTAGCCTGTATCCATTCCTTAAATAGCTCTTGGGTATGAGGTACCTGTCTATAATAGATGCTCAATAAGTATTTGTTAATTTTTTTTAAAAAACCCTATCACCATTAAAATAAAATAATACCTTCATATATATCTGGCAACTCCAAAGGCACTTCAGGTGGCACTGTCAGTCCAGCAGCTTGAGTAAGATATAGTTGCCTAAAAAGAACAAATGAGAAAAGCAGTCTGTCAGTCCACAAATATTATACCATCTGCTCACTGGTGTCTATCTCTCTGTTAGGTGTTGGAGACACATAGATGAAAAATGAGACATAGTTTCTACCTTTGAGGAGCATGAGGCCCAGTGGGGTGGCAGACAGGCTTACAGTATTTTAGGGTGATGGTCTCTACCCTGATGGTGAGTGGTGGAGTGTGAAAAATGCTAGGGGGACAAAGAGAAGAAGCACCTGATTGAGCTTTAGGAGGTCAGGGAAGGTTTCCAGGAGGAGATGGTACCTGAGCTGAGTCTTGAAGAACGAGGGGCTCTTTGCCAGGGAAGGGCTTGGGGTGAGGAAGGGCAGTGAGTGATAATGGAATAACACACCGGGAATGAAAGTGAGCATGACACCCATTAGGGTGCTGTTGTAGTAATCCAGGGGAGGAACAAGTGTGGCCTGAATGGATGGTTTTAAAAAGAAGAGAAAAAGAGAAAGACGGCGAGCAGCAGGAATCCCAGATGACAGGGAGGTTCCAGCTGTTGCTGAGGGGTAGGTTTCAGTCACATGCCTGGTTACGTGTACGTCTGCCAACACAGCTCTCTGTGCATGTGTGTAAGCCTGTGCTCTGCTTTTCAGCACCCATGGAACTTTCAACCAGAACATATGACGTCTTGAAAGCTCCCTATAGCTTTTCCATGAAGTTTGCCTGAAGACAGCATGAATCGGACTCTTGCAGATATTCAAACTACCCCCCATGCTTAGCAGCTCAGCAATTGGAGTGAAGCCCCTGGATTACAGGTTGTCACTTATTTAAAGAACATGAGTAAAGTATTATTCAAAATGCTTAAGTCTCCAACAAATCATATAACTGCATACAATATTTTTGTTTGTAAAAGCTTCTTAAGGTTCAACTCAGTGAAGGTCACTTTCACATGTAGCTCTGGTCTGCAGGTAGACATGTCTGAGGTCTTAGAACTTTCTCTTCTTTCCTGGTTTTCCGTTTTGAATTATTATGATTGTATTAAATGTCATACACTTCATAAATCTGGATTCTCTCTTAACCATTAATTTATTGTCACTTTTGTACCACCATAGGGCAACAACACTTGATGATATGGAAAATACTTAAAGAATGTTATTTTATGAAGTTAGTGTTAGATTTGTAGGTATTGGTCCACTTAGCCTCAGTTCTGTGGTGCTGGGGTCCCTGGGCAGTCACCTGTGGTGGACATTTACCTCATCTCCTGTGTCTAACAGATATTGTGATGTTCTATGTGAGTTGTGAAGGGAGAAGAGTGGGGAGCATTGGATGGGAAAGGTAGTAACTCTATTAGCTAAAATACCCCATTCTTCAGCCAAATAGGAAAACAGCCTTTTTATGTCCTTTGGGCACAGTTTATGTCTATTTCTCACCCCCTTCTAGTATTTTATGAGACTGAGTTCTCAACAGAAAGATGAAAAGAGAAGTTGCCATAAAATATGCAATATGTACTATATTTCTTTGACTTGAAAATGGCTTATAGTCAAAGCTCCTGAATACACTCAAAGTTATCCTTCTGGAGAAGTAGTGTAACAGATAATTGAGGGTTTACACATTTCTGTTCCTTTATGCAGATCTTTCTAAAATTTCCTAAATACTTGCCTCAAGGAATTTATAATCTAGCAAGGAAGCAGACATTAAATAAGTAATCACGAGTGTGATAAATGCCGGTCATGAAAGAAAAGATTAGGGTGTTATAGAAGCATATACAGGGGTTCCTAACCCGGTTCTCACGAACATCGCCCATGCTTTCTTTTTGCTTGGTCAGCTTTTGAACTCATCTCTCCCAACTCGGAAGCAAGACTAAACACTCAGGTGTCTCACTAAAAAAAACCCAACCCACAAGGCATTGATGAATACTGTCAGTACTACTGAAGATTTTTTGGGGGCCTAGGGGTTAAACATGAAACAACTTCACGAAAACTTCATTGAAAGTTTCTCGTCTCCTTGCCAGTCACTGCCAAGTTCTCTCTGGCCAGTGAAAGGATTCCCCTTTGTATAAAAACTAGCCATTCCCATCCGTGGCAGCACCAAACCAGATACCGCGGACTGAGCCCACCAAAGCGGCAAGTGGGGTTGGCACTTGGGAGGGTAGCTCCTTCCTAAGGTTGGGCCTGTTCAGAAACGAAGGAAGGATGACAGTGGAGGCAGGTAGAGCCGCGGTTGTGAGCCCCCGCGCCAGCAGCGGCTGCAGAGATCAGACCCGCGGGCTAAGAGGCGGTGGCAGCAGCTGGAGCACAGGAGCCTGGAGCTGGACACCTGATCAGAGAGGAGAGGGCTGGCAAGAGCGCATCGCCTACTGGGAGTACAGTGAGGCCCGCAGCCCCTAGGACTCCTCGAGGGCATCAGCTCAAGAGACCGGGAATTCAGGAGTCCAGTCAACAGTCGATTCCTTCAGCCCAACTGCCCGCTGCCTCTGCACTGGTGTCTGCCTCTCCAGGGCAGCATGCGGACATGGTGCAGGGGAGCTGGTGGCCCCTTGTCTGTCCTGCCCCGCGGGACTTTCAGCCTGTAATGCAGCTGCACTATCTCCCTTTCTCCATCCTTGTATCTCTTAGCCCAGCAAACGGAACTCCACAACTTACCTGTAGCTACCCTTCTTGGAACACATCGGGAAGTTTGTAAACAAAAGATACTCTATTATGTCACAAACAGTATTTTTCCATACCACACAGGTGACAGGAACTACTTGGGTAGGAACTTTTTGTGGCCCTTTCACCGCGTTGAATTTCTCTGCTTTAACTCCTAGACCGAGACATTTGTTTCCCATCTTCCACATGTACACCCTGCATTAGTGGGATCCGTTTCTCTTCTCTTCCTAAACATGCTACTGTTCGGATTGGTTCTTGTTTCTGATGACTTGCCCAAATAATCATCACCACTCTGAATTTTAATTCCATATTCCAGGGCCCTAGTTTTCCTCCAGACTGGTGTGTTAAGAATTCTTTTGTCAGGTCAGAAAAAGAGAGAACCTAAAATACACATTTGGTTTCTCTTGTGCAGGAATAAATGTGACTTGGAATGCCAGGCTATTTTCTCTACCTCGAAGGTAGTTTGACTCTTCCACTAACTATCAAAGGAAACAATGTTAACAGTCCACAAGGTAACCGGAAGCCCAGAAGACCTCCAGGAAGCTACCATAAAGCTGTTCACTTCCTCCTTTGGGCTAACTCCACACCTCATCCATCTTCTGCTGCACTGGTATGCTTTTATTTTTATGCCCATTTTCCCTGCTGACCTGGAGGCTTTTGAAGGTGTTGTGATGTTCCTGTTAAGTGTTTGTTATTAAGACTATAGTGCATTGTTAAAAAAAGCAAGCCAAAGTTTGCACTGTACCAACAGTTGACATTCACCATGGCCGTTTTGTGAGTCCCTTCCTTTGCAACTACTGCCATCCAGCTAGAACATTAAAAAATTAAATCATCTTTTAAAAATAACTTTTTACAGATACAAATGTTTACAAACTACTTTCTAGATATGCTAATGACTTTCACCTGGGTATTTTGAGATCCACAAGTCTACAGTTGAATAGTTGATCAATAAGCACCAAATTTTCTTCTTCCAGTTCATGAATAGTATTTTCCAATTTTTCAACTTCCTTCCTGTGATTTGCAATCTGTTCTCAGAAGAGAATGGAGGGATGTTGGTACTTGTTGACTTAGTTCTACCTAGTCTTCTGTAAGAAATTCAACTCCTAAAAATCCATTTGCCTGAGGGGAAGATCTATCCTGTATTATTTATTACTGGGTTTGCTTTGTCCTTCCTCTCCAAGAAGGAATGGGTGGGTCTCTTTTCCAGATTGTTTGCAGAACTTGTTTGCATGGTTAGGCAGTTATTAGTGAATGGCAGGAATTGTCCTTTCCTACCCTTCAGAAACATCCCTGGACCTCTCTATGTGCTGGAGGTAGAGATAAACATGAAAATAAGACTAATTAACTTATCATTGTAGTTAAATGGGGAAGATGGTGATAAAAACAAAAAGCAGTATGATCAAACCATAATGGAAGATGCTCAGGTACTGTGGGAAGTTCACTGTAGGTCTGGGGTAGGGGGTAAGGGAGAATTAATAGAGGAGATGACATCTAATCTGGATTTTGAAGACCAAGTTGGGATTCTCCAGGCAACAAAAGGGGGTATACTCTAGGCAGAAGGAACCACATGTTAGGCACAATTATTTTGGTGCAGATAGATACAAAGTGGAAGTGGGGAGAAGTAGGAGAAAAACTGGACAATTAGGGAAATAATGCTAAAGGGTCTGGTTTTTATTTTGCAGATGATGGAAGGTCATGGATAGACATAGCAGGTTTGATGTTTACTAAAGAAATATGGCTAACTTAATTAAAAGTGAACAAAATTTGCTGCTTCTCTCCCATCAGTCGTTAAGAAGTGTATTTTGGAAACTTTAGCTAAAGGCCTTGGATAGTGGGAAAGATATATAGGACGTTACTAGACAGAACTCCCATCTCACCTCTCTGCCTGCCTCATATACATATACATATACATATACATATACATATACATATACATATACATATTCAGGTGCTGCATTGAGAGGTGCTCATGGAGAGAGGTCAGGACGATAGAAGAATTAGAAGCAAGAGTATAGAAGAGGGCACCTGGGTGGCTCAGTCGGTTAGGCAACTGACTCTTGATTTCAGCTCAGGTCATAATCTCGGGGTTGTGAGATCAAGCCCCATGTCTGCTCTGGGCTCAGCGAGGAGTCTGCTTGAGATTCTCTCTCCCTCTCCCTCTGCCCCTCCCCCTAAGCATACTCTCTCTTTCTGTCTCTAAAATAAATAAATAAATAAGTAAATCTTTTTTTAAAAAAGAGTATAAAAAAGAAAGTGATAGGCTGATGGGAGTAATAGAGATAAACTGGAAAAAGTAAGTATATCAAGGGAATATGATGAAACAAAAGGGTTCAGGGGTTTAGATTCAGTATCTCTTGTTAGGCATTGCCAAGAGTGTAGCTGAGATGAGAACTTAGATAACTAACATTTTTTATTTGTACTTGAAATTTATTTATTGTATTTTAGAATCTGGAAACAGTCTGTAAATTACCACATGCATATCTCTATCACATAAGTCATGTATTAAGTGCTTGAATTCCTACTATGGGCAAGGTTCTGTGTGAGACATAGAAGGATACAAAAGTGAATAAGGCGTTTACAATCCAGTGAACAAATACACAAATAACTGTAACATAAAATAATATTAGTGCCATAGAAAAGGCTCAAATGTTGCTGGTGGCTTGGAGTTTGAAAGAAAAGCATATTTTACCTGCCTTAAACTACTTAGCAAACCATTTAAGTCCATGATACTAAATTAGAAAGCAAGGGGTTGGTGCTTTAGCATCTCGTGTGTTGGGAGATAATCAGCTTGATTATAGGCTTGAATGCCTTAAGGAAAAGTTAATAATTTTCAAATGTCAAAGGATGAGAAAGAAATTATATTTAGAGGTTGTAAACAGAAGGAATTGATAGAACATTTGGAAATGTTTGACCCAAGGGTTTGGCATGCTTGGGAGGCAGTACACACAGTTCTTGGTCTCCTTCCAAAGCCGGGAATGAAGAGGGCCCTTTTGGGGATTTAAGTCCGATCTTTCAAGCTAAGGATATCTTGTGGCATCACTTACCCCTTTGGACTACTAACTAAGGTTCTCAACAATTACTATCTCCTTTCTAGCCTTTTGAAATATTAGGGAAATGAAAACTAGTTCTTTTTTATAGCCATATAAATTTCTAGGGTAAGAAAGTAAAAAGGAGGAAGGAGAAGACTGCTTTTCCCTCCCTATCCTTGCTTCTCCCCAGATACCCAAGAAACGTACTTTAGAAATTGAGAAAGATAATTTAGTTTAAACTATTATAAGTCAGAGACCTAGGATCCTGAATTAAATGTGTGCTCTTGAAAATTTCCCCTGCAAGATCCAAGTTAGCTTCATGCCTCCTCACACTTGAAACTCTGATTGCTAACCTCTTTGAATCCCTTTGTCTAGTTTTATTGGCTTTCTATTTGTTGAGTGAGTCTAAGTCATTTGGAAATTTCAGTTTTCTTCATTTCCTTAATAAGCATGCTAAATAAAACCAGATAATGGAAGTCATGCATGGGACGTTTCATAGCCTTCCCACAGGTCTAAGTTTTTGCTTATTGTTGAAAGATAGTTAAATGGAGAAATACTTTCAGGAGGTCCATTATTGAATATCCCTTGTTACTCATTCTAAACCTTCCTCAAAGAAATTAATTGACATACATTATTCCATTTCCAGGCAATTTTCAATTCTTGTGATAATACTTATAACCAGAGATGGTTTTAATTAATTTTGTGAGTAAATGTAATAATGCTAAAATAAATACTTATTGAAATAAGGAGAAATTAAATCTATTAAATTTCCTTAAAATGATTTGTTCTTTATTACTAAGCTCTTTTGCTCATGATTTAATTAATCACATTTTAATTAATCACATGATTTAATTAATCACATTTTTTTCTTGTCTTTTATTTCTACTGAATCATGAGAAGTAAAAAATAAAATGAAACAGAATGTAATTTGTGGCTTTAGTAGGAAGGATCAAGACACCAAAAAAGCCTTTCTTATCAGTCAGATATAAATTTTTACAGTTATTTTCTCTGAACCTAATATCTATGACATCTTATAAGATTTAAGATTTGAATTGTTAAATTATTATAATTAGGATTATGCTGTTATATTCAATAAAAGTACCAAACTAAACTCCTCCCTAATATTCTTTAACTGTTAAGCTCACCTTGAGTTTTTTTTTTTTTTTTTAAGATTTTATTTATTTATTTGAGAGAGGGAGAGAGGTGCATGCACATGAGCAGGGGGAGGAGCAGAGGGAGAGGGAGAAGCAGACTCCCTGCAGAGCAGGGAGTCCAACACACAGGGCTCCATCCCAGGACCCTGAGATCATGACCTGAGCTGAAGACAGACACTTAACCAACTGAGCCACCCAGGCGCCCGCTCACCTTGAGTTTTTTAAATCAATATTCATTTTTTAAAAGTGGGGATTCATCTTGATTTATTTTCGAAGTAGTTTGGATTCCTATTTACCATGACTTTATAAGGGCAGCTTAAAGATAATTGTCAATATCATAGAAAGCACATTACTTTTTAAATTCCTTGTTTCCTAGACTCACCAACTCTATTCAGCCTATAAATAGGGGGCAAGGAAAAGAGAAGAGAAGGTGACAGTGACATTTTTACTTCAGGTATCTGAGCAGATGGTGAAAAAAGAGATGCAAGAAGTGAAGATTTAAGGAGAAATTTAATGAATTCTGCTTTAGGGATGTTGAGTGCCTTTGGGACATCCATGTGGAAATATTTGGCAGGCAAGTAAAAATATAGGTCTAGAGCTATGGACATGCATGTTAGTGCTGAACATGTACATTTGAGAATCATGTACATGTATATAACTTACTAACAAGAGCTGTGTGTAGTTGAAGTGAATTCTTTCAAAAGATAGTGAGTTTTCTTTCATAGATAGTATCTGAGCACAGGTCGGGTGACTACTTGTCTGGAGATAAAGGGAATTTCAAAGTAGTGAGTTTTGCACATCTTCTGTAGCACCCTTGTAACATCTAGGCCAAAGATTATCTACCTCTTTTATCCAATAACATGCTCTCACACTTCACCCAAGAGCTAAGCCATGTACTTGATTAATCTCTCCAATGAATATATATATACTCATGGACATCCTTTCATTCAATAACTATTTATGAACATAGATTATTTATTAGTTCTCATGGACATATAATTGAAAAGGCATAGCCTGCTCTGTGCAATGAAGAGACAGATGCATAAACATCCAATTTCAACATATTTTAACAAGAGTTATGAAACAAGAGAGCACTGAGGAAAAGGACTCAAGACTTTCTGGGGGAAATACAAAATGATTCAGAAAAAAATTAATCATCAAAGTCTGTGCCTAAAAGGAGAGTTGGAGTTTTCCAGGTAGATGAGTGTAAGGAGGGAAGGCAGAGGGCCTAGTCTGTACAGTGTAAGGAAAACAGGGCAGTGCCTCATAAGGTCTAGAAGTCCTGCCATGACCACATTCAGTGAGAGCAGTATTGCAGCGCTGGTGTAGGGAGACAGGGGGAGCTGAGTCTCAGACAGCACACGGGGCCCACTTGTTTCCACATGTTCTCCAGAAGGAGGTGTGAAGAGAGCCTGATGACCAAGCTAGGAGAGGACCAAGCAAGTCACCAGTGCAGGGAGCAGACAAAGGCACATCCTATACAGATGAAAGGCAGAGGGAACAAAGATCCAAAGGAAACCCACAGATCTGAGCCCTCTTTAATGACATGCCCCACAAGAGGGCATGTAAGCCCCACCTCCTTATACAGTAGGGTCCATCTTGGAGAGGAGCAGGGGGAAGTAGGGAAATCTAAATGACTGAACATTTATGCAAAGGAGACCACGTGTCATCCCGAAAGGCAATTTAAAAACAGCAGAGAATGAGGTTAGAATGATCCTTTAGCCTTCCTCCCACCACCCAGAAGGAAGTACAGTTTTGAAGAAGACCAGATCAATTTTAGGATATAAAGAAGCTTCATATATTTGAGTATATTACATGAATTAGGATGCCAAAAATGATTTCTGGTTGTTACTGAAATTATTGATGGTATTCATTGAGTAACGGTTTGTAATAAGATTAGGATTCCACTTGAATTTTACTTTACCTCAGCTAGTCATGATTCTATGCTTTTCCCATGCCTTCAGCTCATAAATAAAAGTCCTTTCCAGTTCAAAAAAATGAGAAAGAAGAAATTGTTTTTTAAAATTCCACCTACCTCTCTTTTCAGCCAGTCATTCTCCCAGATCTCTCGGTAGCTGCCCTTGTCAATGAACCGTATGGCATTCTAAAAGAAAGTTTCTGTATTAGGGGAGACTTGCAACATTGCGATTCACAATCAACTTATCTGATCATTTTACATTATGGTTTGCAATTACTTTGGAAACATATCTAAGAACTTTTGCTTCAGTTTTTCTTTATTCTCATATTATTTTTTGCTGATTCACACTGCCTAATACAGGTGATTCAGAGAACTGGACAATAGTTATCCTTTCAGTTTGGCTTCCATTGTGACTTAATCTGATTGCCATGGTGAAATCAATCATTAAGTGATCTGCTCCATAATTAAGGTGGCTGAACTGCAGGGGTCAAATATTCTTCATGTTTTTGGTCTATGTTGGACATAATCCAACATAGAGTAAAAGCATGAATAGATTCTATTACAACCTTTTTAATTAGAAAGACTTCTGTATGTCAATAATAACAATATACGTATTTACAAACTTAATAGCAAATAATTTCAGGGTAGCTGGACAGTTTCCTGGAAAAAGGCATTTTAGATGAAGAAAACAGGAAAAGCATTACTTTGTCAATAGGTTCATAAAATGTAAATTCATTTTCAATTCTTATTTATTTATAGTTTTCCCTAAGGGAACTTTATAAAGGATGAAAGATTGTATTTATCTGTGAGGTACTTTTATATGGATACCACATTACAAATTCCACATTCAGTAACTAAAGGGCACAACCTAAGGAAGAGAAATTAAGAAAAATCTTATAGGGCGCCTGGGTGGCTCAGTTGGTTGAGCGACTGCCTTCAGCTCAGGTCATGATCCTGGAGTCCCGGGATCGAGTCCCACATCCGGCTCCCTGCTCAGCAGGGAGTCTGCTTCTCCCTCTGACCCTCCCCCCTCTCATGTGCTCTCTCTCTCTCTCTCTCTCAAATAAATAAAATCTTAAAAAAAAAAAAAAGAAAAATCTTATAGATCATAAAGGCAGACAGAAATAACTGAAAAATATGTTAAGAATAAGTTTTAAGTCTTGAACGAGTGGGAAGATTTGCAATAATTTTTTTCTTCAAATCATGCTAATTAAACTAAGGGTGCGCCTACATTCCTTAGGAACCAGGAACTTTTATACTGCAGCTGCAACTGGTAACTCTAAAGTGTCCTGGAACACAGAATTTCATTTGAACGAAAGCAGGACACAGCTCATAACTGAAGTTGGCTAATGGCTTAATTTACTAACAGTGGAGCAGGGGTTTTCAATGTTGGGCGCATGTTAGAATCTCCTGGACACTTGGACAAATCCAGAAACCAAGGTGACATGGCAGGCCAACTACATGAGCATCTCTGAGGCACCACATGAGTTAACCAAATTTCTTGGTGACTCCAGTACGCAGCCAAGGTTGCACAACAGTGGATTATCAGAAGCGAAACATATGCTAAAATAGCTAGATAAAATGGGGAAAATTCATTCACGTGTGTGTTAGGCATTATGTAGAGAAAAGAAAATGTATAGGGTAGTGATTAAGAGCAATGATCTGAAGGAGACATCTGGAATCGAATCTCGATTCTGCCACTTGCTCTGGGAAAGCCACAAAACTTTCACTGTGCTTCAGTCTTCTCATTAGCAAGTCCCTGCCTTATAGGATTGTTGAGAAACATAAATGTAAAATGCTCAGAACAGTATCTGGAACAGTCCTCATTATATATTGAATATGTATATTTGAAATATATTTGATCTACAGATGCATTTTTAATCATCTTAACTATGTTCAGATCATTTTATTGTTGACTTCACCATTCAGTCATAGTCACTCACAAAGGGGCTGAATTTTATGGACAGATAAACTATTGGTCAGTTCTCCGTAGTCCTCTATATTTGTATAAATCAGTAAAAATCATGCAGTAGGATAGTAACTGAAAGAATAACTTAACTAACAGTTAAGCAACAAACAATAGCAACTGAAATTCAGTGAAGAACTTTAGAGAAGACCAGATGTTTATGATTCTGAAGAAGAGAGATTCTAGATGAAGAGACAGTCCCAGTGGGGGCCTCACTAACTGAGGAGATAGTCTATGGACAGGGAAGGAGAGTGAAAACAAAGGGATTAGAAAACATATAAAGTTGGAAATTATATCTCAAACTTTTTTTTTTAAGATTTTTATTTATTTGTCAGAGAGAGCGCTTGTGCATAAGCAGGGGGAGTGTCAGGGCGCAGGGAGAAGCAGACTCCCTGCTGAGCAAGGAGCCCAACGCGGGACTCAATCCCAGGACCCTGGGATCTTGACCAGAGCTGAAGGCAGACGCTTAACCGACTGAGCCACCCAGGTGTCCCTCAAAGATTTTTTTATATCCCAAAATATTAAAGCTCTGGCCATGTAAAGTGTACTCTTTTAGGTTTGGATATATATGACAGTACTTTTTTTTTTTTTTTTAAGATTTTATTTATTTATTTGACAGAGAGAGACACAGTGAGAGAGGGAACACAAGCAGGGGGAGTGGGAGAGGGAGAAGCAGGCTTCCCGCAGAGCAGGGAGCCCGATGCGGGGCTCGATCCCAGGACCCTGGGATCATGACCTGAGCTGAAGGCAGACGCTTAACAACTGAGCCACCTAGGTGCCCCTATGACAGTACTTTTTAGACAAATCATATTTCATTCTATAATGCATCCAAAACTTTTATTTAATAATTTGTTGTAGCCATTATTATTACTTAAAAATAACTGAATAATAAGTTACTGAGCTCTTGTTCCTTATGAGACACTATGCTACTTAAATCATCTCATTTAATCCCCATACTATTCTTTAAAGGTAAATATCATTATTGCCCCTTTTTTTAAAAATTAGGAAACTGGAGCCCAGAAAAGTCAAGTAACAAATTTAGTTTATATTCCCAGTAAGTGGAAGAACCGTGATTTAAACTAAACTGCCGAACTTCAGAACTCAAGTTCTTAATCATGATAATATACCACAGGAAAAAATAAGGAACAACTTTTGTTTTGTTTTTAAAAAAACTGAAATATACCTGTGTGGCCCATTCTTTCTTTTGATCCAGTTGCAACAAAGTTTCTCTGATTATTCTCTTTCTAGCATCTTCCAGAGTGACTTTATAGTGTTCTTTAAAAAGAAAATTAGAAGCTTTAACAAGACTAATCCTAGGTAAAGCTATGCTGCTTGTAAATTTTATTTCCATGATCCTCTCATCTCCTTTCTACATATTTTCCCCCAAATTTTCAGGGTAAATTTTTACTGAAGTATCTAGTACCTCCAATTAGAAGAAATGCTCCAGTAATTTACTAACACCTTAATGTGAATTAGCTAAAATGGTATCTCTCCTAAGAATATTTGTATTTTCAAAGGATTGTCTCTCCAAAGGGAAAATTCCCAATACTTTAGGGCAGCCATCTACCTTGCATATCACACACTTCTGATTCCACAACGGAAATATAAAGATTTGATTATCTGCATGAGAAGCATCCTATACCTCTGACTCCATCTAACTAAATTTCCAGTATTCTTGGCAGGCGTTTTCTTGGGCAGGAAAGACAGTGAGAAAAGGAGAGAGGGGTGAAGGGGCCATGAAAGTCAGCCTCTGGTTCTGAGTTGGGCTCAGGGCAAGAGAGGAGGACAGATATGAAGAAGTGCAGGATTCTTTATTCTCTCCAGATTTTCTGATATCATAGTCAGGATTGAGAGAGCAAAGGATCATAAAATTTTAGGCCTTGAAAGATGCTTAGTGATCATACCCTCAACACCTCTGTTTAAGGAAAAGTGAGGTATAGTGACATTAAGACTGCTGTAGAGAGTGGAGAGGAAGAAAACTAGTCTAACTTGACATCTGGAGAGTAAGAAAATGGAAGTCTTCGTTATTCCAACCCACATATGCCCATCCATACAATCTGTATACTTCTTTTTCCCATTCAGAGTCATAACTTGGATATTTTAATCATTCCAATCTCATTTCTGGTAGAATTTGTTTCAATTCAGGACCTAGTCCACTAGACTAAGGCTGGATGTTTATTGGAAACTTCTACCCAACAAAACACAATAGGCAATCTAAAAGTTGCAATGGATCAGGAGTTTAGTTATAATGGATTTTTCATTCTTAGCATCTGAAAGAAACCATTAACCTGGAACTTGATTAGATTAAATATTAATTCTTTGCTGCAAATCATAAAAAATAGATGATCAAATATGCTCTAACTAAAGTTATAGCTCTTTCTAGTGCCACATTAACACTGACAAAGCAATAAAAATACCCAACTTGTTCCAAGTTCCATATAAAATTCTATGGACTGTTTATCTTCTGAAGAGCAGAGTAACCAGCACAAGGGAGGATGTAAAAATCTCATTGCTAGTTTTTGTGATTCACCTGCTGCTTTCAGAAACAACTGTTAACCATGCATTTGTGAATATAGCCAAAGAAGCTGGGAGTATGAAATGTCTCCTTCTCATAACAGTTGGAGACGTTGCTACTGGGAGCACGGGAGACTCTGGCTTTGTGCCTTTAAAGTCCTGGCTGCTCAGACCCCTGTCTAATGTGGCCACTTCTCAGAAGCTGATGGCAAAGCCACGCGGGCTGAAGATTGCTTTGCATTGTTCTACCTTCCCTGCTGTGTCTGGCTCCGTGTTGCTCTGCTCCCCCACAGTTTTCCTGGGAGTCTGTTGCCCACTTTTCACCACTTGTCAGTGTCACACGACCTCACTGTGCTGACCCTCTTCTGTGGGGAGGGTGGTGGTAGCCTCTCTTGTGAGTTCTCTTGGAGATCACCAAGGGACTCCCATTTTACAAATGAAGAAATTAATGTTCAAAGAAGTAATGTTACTTTTTTGTAAGTGCATTTGAACCCAAATCTTTTAACTCACGATTAGTGTACAAAGAAATTTTAGAGATTCCTGTCCTGTGTGCCTGGTGAAGGACAAAAGTAAAAATGCTCTGTGACCCTGATATCTAATGACTTATCATACCCCCACACTTTCTGTATTGCTGGGCCTCACTAAGGTCCCCTTTCCTTTTACTGAGAGATAAAGCCTTGTCTTGGATGGATTAGTGACTGTGTTTCCTATACCCACTATCCCAAAATCTCCCAGCCAAAGTTCAGGGAAGCAGCTCTAGGTGCTTCCTTCCCCTTCCCCCCAGAGCTCAGGGATGTTCCTGAATAAGGCAGGGTTGGGGAGCTGACCACAGAATGGCTGACTGATGGCCCATGAGGAGGCATGGACAAACGTCTTCGCTCATCTTCATTAGGTAGGTGATGACACCAGCTCTTTAGAAACTGGGCTGGAGAAAACTGCAAGAACTGGTGTGTGGGAAGCAAGAAGAGAATGAGGACGGGACAGAGCAAAACAGAGGCACTATGAAGGGGACACAGACCATAAAAGACAAATGTAGAGAGGAGCCATCTCTAGGGCCACCACTGATCTGATGGGCTTCTGTTTCCATCTTCAGTCTTCCCATTCCTCACTGCAAGTGTTATATTCAACAAACATGACCATGGGACATCAAACAAACTTAGCTTTATCTCTTCCCTTTAAAATTCATACTGTGAGGCTAGTAACTCTCTCAACAAGATATATGGCAAATTTCTTACTTTTCTGGATCCTTTGTGATAATAAGAGGCCCTCCAACCAGTAATTAATGTATCCAGTCTTTTGTAATAATTAAAACTTTAAACTCCATTCTAAGCTGTGGCTATTCCCTTCCCAACCTGGACATACAACTATTTCCTCTGATTTGAGTTTCTATGCCTCCTCCCTCAGGGTTGAAGAGAAGCATGGAAAGGGGCAAGAAAGCTCTCATTTGACAGATACTATCTCAAGCTAATGTGGCACTTTCTAGTTCTAGCTGGCACTTAGGGTTGATTCCTTTTCCATGGGGCTGTTTTATAGGTTCTTCAGAGGACCACCCTCACCATTGCTAGTTATTTCACCTGTGGTTCCTTGATGCAGGGGCTGTACTGTCCTTGAGGCTGGCTAACTTCTCCTTTGGCCTCTGGCTCTCAATCTATTGCTCCCTCCCATACATGCAGGCTCCTATTTCTCTGTTAGGGACCCTATCACGGAGATCTAACAGGACTAGCTTGCTCTCATAGCAGATTTGTAGGAAACACTTTCATGCTTTGCCGTGACAAACTCTGAGAGGGTAGCCTGCTGCAGACTGAATCTTTGTGCCCCCCTACCCCCAGTTCATGCGTTGACACATAATCCCCAGTGTGATGGTATTTGGAGATGGGGTCTTTGGGAGGTCATTAGGTCAAGAGGGGGGAACCGTCATGAATGGGATTAGCACCCTTATAAAAAGAGACTCCAGAGAGCTCCCTTGTCCCTTCCACTAAAGATGGCTGTCTATGGACCAGGAAGTGGGTTTTCACCAGACACCAAATCTGCTGGCATTGATCTTGAACTTCCCAGCCTGCAGAACTGTAAGAAATAAATTTCTGTTGTTTATAAGGCACCCATTTAAGGTATCTTGTTATAGTAACCTGAATGGACTAAGACACAGGCCTAGCTCAGGGCAGCGGCCACTTTACCTTTTCTCTGCTGTCAGAATGATTAGTCAGTCCCTTATCCCCTAGATTTCCCAGAGATGGGTCATAAACTAGACCTCCATGTCTCCCAAACTGCAGAGGGCACATACTGAACAATCTGAGGAATTTCCTTAAAGATTCTCCATCTTGATTTGAGGTGATGGAAGAAATTACCTTTCACCTGCCCCTTTGTGGGACAGCATGGGACTTACAGCACACCAAGATCTCTTTCTAAACACTGTCCCCTAATTTCCAACAATCTTTTCTTGACCTGTGCAACTTCTTTTATAGACTGGAATTCAGTTTTCTGTCTCATCGGCATGGCAGTATCTCAGTTTACTCTGAAATGTGGTGTCTGTTAAATAGCCACCCCAGTTTAAACTGAGACTAAAAAAGTTTTACTTTAATATCCTTTTTCAATAACCACTCCTATCCCTAAAATACTAGTTCCTTGCAAGTAAACCAGTCTTATTACCACAAACTCCATGATCATGGGTGTGAGAGGAATATTCTACAGAAATCATGGAAGAAGGGAGGAAAAAGGGCAATATAATAGTAAGGCTTTAGATAAATCGCTTTAAGTGTCCTGCTCATATCCATTGTCCAATTACTGGCCCCCAGGGTATTTTAATCGTCCCTGAGCAGATTGCTGCTGCTACCGGCATGGTTAGGAGAAATGCCTAAAACCAATGACAAATAAGAAAAGCCCATAACAACTATTTTCCTATGACACCTAAACTCAGCTACAGACTAAGGTTTAACCAGCAAGTAATTCAATATATTAATGTCATTACCACCATCCCAAAGCTGGATACACAGCATGACAATTTTCAACTCAAAGAAATCATCCAAATTTCTGATCAAGATAATGGGTTAATAAGTTTATCTGAGAAGGTGACTCCTCCTAATTTAAAAATATAAAGAAATGTTGGGGGGATTTAAAAATTTTAAACTTCCCTGAACAATAACTATTTTAAAAGTACAGTACTGGTGCACAAATACATAGGTCAGTGGAACAGAATAGAAAGTATAGGGAGAGACCCAAATACACATGGGAAACTAAAGTATCATAAAGTCAGCATTTTAAATCAGTAGGGTTAAAATGAATTATTTGATGATGTTAGGACAACTGGAAAACCTATCTGGCAAAAAATAAAATTGGTATCCTACCTCGTAGACACGCAAAAAATCAAAGATGTAAATATTAAAATGAAGCCATAAATATTCTAGAAGAAAATATTGGGCAATTTATCATCTCAGATATCATAAAATAAAAATCTAGGTTGGACACTCTAAAACTTCAACATGTCCCCATAAATATACTCCACAAAAAAAGACTCCCCATAAATATACTCCACAAAAAAAAAAGACAAATGGGGGTAATATTTGTACTTTGTATACAGTTAAAGAGCTAATTTCCTTAAAATGTAAAGAGCTCTACAACACAGTAGAAAAATGGGCAAGGGATGTGAACAGATGGTTCACAGAAAAGGAAATATAGCTATATTTCCTATTACATTTCCGGAACTTATGAAAAGATATTCACTATCACATAATAAGAGAAGTGGAAATTAAAGCTATAATGAGATACCATTTTCTACTTTTAAGACCGGCAAAGAACAAAAAGTTAGCTAACGTCTCTGTTGTTGAAGATGCAGGAACATAGGGAGAGGTTGGGGGTGGGGTGGGGGTGGTTAGTAAACTTGGTACAAGCTCTATGGAGGGCCATGCCTATCAAAATAACAATAAATAAATGGGCACTTTGGGCCAGCCATTCCTTCCTAGAGATACACAAAAGTGAAATTATATAAATACAAGGATATTCATTGCAATAAAAGGAGGTATTTAAGAAAATTCATTGCAGCATTATTTGTAATAGTAAAATATAGGAAACAATCTAAATGCTTACGAGTAGGAGACTTGTAAAAAAAAGTATATTACAACAAAACAAAGTAGTCACTGGAAGAATGAAGAAGTACTAATATATACTGATCTATAAGAATGTCCATATTGTTACATGAAAAAGCAAGTACAAAACTGTATTTGTAGCATGCTTTGTATATATTGATATAAAATATTTCTGATAAAGATTACACAAGAAATTGGTAATAGTGGTTTTATCTAGAGAGAGGATCTGAGTGGCTGGGAGATAGGGGTAGGTAGGTGTCCCCTCTGTCTTTTTTTTTAAAGAATTATTTATTTATTGTTAGAGAGAGAGTAGGCAGGAAGGAGGGGCAGAGGAAGGGGGAGAGAGAGTTCCAAGCAGGTGCCCTGCTAAGCATGGAGCCTGACTCGGGCTTGATCTCAGGACCTTGAGATCATGACCTGAGCTGAAACCAAGAGTCAGTCGCTTAACCAATTGTGCCACCCAGATGCCCCAGAAGATGTCCCTTTTATTCTCTACTTTTCTTCTGGGGAGGAAAACCTTTTGAAAAATTGGAACTTTAAACCCAGTCTGATTTGGAACCAAATTTACACTGCCTTTGTGGTGCAGAAGCCCTGAGCTGAGAAACTTACAGAAAACTTGGTCCAGCAGTGGAATATCCTGCGACAGGGCCCCCGCAGGGGATAATGGAAATGACCCCACATGAACACCTCCACCACTCAGGGCACCATCACCAGCCGGGCTCAGAGCTGTCATCTGGCCAGTGTTCTTCTGAGTCATCAGATTTCTCCATTTATTCTACTCTATGACTTTCCTGTCTCTGGGTTTCTAATGTTTTTTAAGCCACTGTGCTTAGCCACAGTGACAGACAGGTGGCCTCATGGTTCCCAGAACTAGTCCTGGTAAGCTTCATCACACCTGATGCCATCCCGCTCCATACTCTCTCCATTTCCCGTCTTGTGTTTGTTCTTCAGTTCTTTCTGACTATAACCTAGCGTTTACTTGGGCGTTTCTCTACAATGATTCTGGTTTTACAGCCTGGTTAATTTGTTTTTAACTTGCCTCAGGTAAATTTCTTTTCAATATAACTCCGGCCCAGGACCTTCCTACCTCGGTGGAATTGCCCCAGATGTAGGTATGGGAGCATGCAGACACCACCCACTGAATGAAGCTTCTTTCTTTCTCCAAGACAGTTGGTCTCAGGGATTCTCCACTGCCCCTCCCCCGCATCCTTCTACTTCTCAGTTCCATTGGTGGTCCTGGGAGAGTTTCTCTCCTCTCTCCACCTTTACCCTTAGGTTCATAGCTTCTTGTGCTGATAGAGAGTAAAGAATGATTTAGGGAGTACACATTTTTCTCTTCTACAAAAGGGCTGCTCTCCAAAGATTTTCTATTGAATTTGAACTAGCTTTGTCACAACTGACCTGACATTTTCTCTGCATTTTCTTTAACTCTATTGATGTCATTCTGCAAGGAGGTAATGAGTTTAGCATGTTGTTCACTCCCTACATTCTTGTATTCTTCCCAGTATTCCTTTTCACTGAGTTTCTCAAGAAATAGTTTCTCGGCGTTATTTATTTGCACGCGCATATCTGTTGAGAGAAAATCAAGACACCATGTCATTGCCATTGTTCTTGCAACCATGATAAATTGCAATCCGATTTTATGAAGTTAAGGTCTGAAAGGCCTGCTACTAAAATGCTGTTAACTCATAAATACAATTTTTTATCTACAATGAAAGGAAATCTAAACTATTTCAACTATTGTTTATCCCTCATGATGCATAATCCAAGTAAAATTAAGCTTCCAATTATAAAATAGATGTGTGGTTTTAGGCTGTGACTGATAGGTTAATAGACTACCTATATGCCTAGGAACCCACAAGCTTAAATTATTCCCATGGTAGCTTGATAAGTGTCCTATTTTGTACATTATATCACATAGACTTTTTATTAATAAATTGTCACTTTTCTGACCATTGTGCCTCTGGGCAAAGCGAATTCAATATATATCCTGTGCTGTCCCTGGCAACCATTTTTGTAAATAAATAGGTTGCTTCCATCATCTAAAGTTCAGTGTTTGGGACAGGACATTCCCTTGTGTGAGATGATACCATACAACAGTAATCTCAACATGTCTTCCCTGGTCCCTGCTTACAAATGCCTTCAGAGTGAAAGATAAATTCTCTAGTAAAAAATGTACAAATACTGAGCTGTGTCACCCATATAAACCTTCAGTTTGCCCTGGGGCACTTGCTAAACATGATATTCTACTCCATCTTTAGGCCGGGTCTCATGCTTCTAGATATTTTGGAACTGGAAGTACTACAAGGAGCAGGGTACATTGAACTTAATGGCCCTTTGGCTCAGTGCCACACACCATCTTGTTTGAGAGCTCCCTGAAGGCAAAACCACATCTTATTCTTCTCAACAAAACCAGCACTTAGCACAGAGTCTGGCACTTAGTTGGTGCTCAATAAATGTTTATGGAATGGCTGAAGCATTGCAATCAGGCCGGGGGAATGTTCTTGAATATAGAGGAGTCCAGAAGGACTCCAGACGTGTCTTTTTCCAAGGCTGTAAATAAGATCATGTATTTTTAAATCCCTTAATAAATGACACTTGCTATTGCCATTAAACAATGAATACCGCCGTAACCTGCCTGATGAGCTGCCCTCCTATCTGCTTAGACAGCTGCTGTCTCAGCCCTGTACCACAGTGAGCCTTTGAGGGAGGGTTGCTTACTGTCACTGAAGTCTTTGAAAGAGAGGTCCATGTCGTGGCTGTTGTTCTACTTTGCCTGAGCCCATGTCCCGCCCCTTCTCCTACCCCTTGTCAAATACGTAGGCCAATTACAGTGGCTCCTTCTCCTGGCTGTAGGGATTTGTCCAGTGGGGAGCATGTGTCTCAAGCTAGGCACACGCTCAGAGGCCTTCCCTGGACACACATTCACTGAAACTGGTGGAAAACATGTCTCTTTTGTCTCCATTTGGAGGTAAAGAGGATGTAAAGTGAGAAGTGTCCATGGTCTGAGTTCCAGCCTCATGAGGACAACAGCCTCAGAAAAAGGAGCCAACTTTCGGGGGCAAGACAGAGAGAGAAGAGGGGTAAGAGACAGAGGAGGGGGATGGCGGGGGGAGAGAAGGAGGGAGAGGCAGAGGAGATTTAAAAAAAAGAAAAATGCTGAGGGTGCCTGGGTGGCTCAGTTGGTTAAGCGACTGGCTTCAGCTCAGGTCATGATCCCAGGGTCCTGGGATCGAGTCCCGCATCAGGCTCCCTGCTCTACGGGGAGCCTGCTTCTCCCTCTCCCACTCCCCCTGCTTGTGTTCCCTCTCTCGCTGTGTCTCTCTCTGTCAAATAAATAAATAAAATCTTAAAAAAAAAAAAAAAAAAGAAAAATGCTGAGATCTGACAGCACGTGAGGCTCTGGGTCCAGGTCCAGAGCACCCTGCCTTTTTTCTGTTTGGTTTTATGAAAAAATTAACACCCTCTTTATGTTTAGGCTAGTTTGGGTTAAGTTTTTATCCAGGCAACTGAAGAGTCCTAAATAAAAGGTGAAAAAAAGCGGTTACATCAGTCTTTCTCGAACCTTCCTGTGCATAGGAATCCCCCAGGATCTTGTCCCAGGGCAGATTCTAAGTCAGTAGACCTGGATGGGCCTGAGATTCTGTACTGCAACAAGCTGCCAAATGAAGCTGCCGCCGCTGCTCCCCAAACCCAGTCAGGTTACAGTGACTCCCTGGGACTAACAGAACAGCCTCACAAAGCCTTTTCCCATCCGCCTGTCCTCCGGCTTTCCCTCCCTCCCTCGGCATCTGCGGACTCCTCTTGTCCTTGGGCCACTGCACATGCCCAGGCCTCCTCTGCTGTGCTCTGTCACCCAGCTTGGCCCCAGTTGTGCATGACACACACGTCCCAGCACTCAGCCCAAACTGTAAACAGGCACATCTCGGCTAGCTGGGCCTATTTCCCTGCAAAGGCAGTTTAGTGAGCACATCTGAGTATCCTCTGTGGTCTCACTCCCATCTCAAGGGACTTATTAAAGTCTTCCTTCCAAACATAAACAGAAGTCTCCTGGAGAGGCGCCCTGCAAAATACAGTATCTACCACCTCATGACATCACCGCTGCCCATCAAGGGACGGGCCAGAACAGGCAACAGTTGTGGAGACCCCTAAAAATGAAGTTTGCTGATTGATGGTTGACCTTGGCAACTATTTCATTCAAAACCACAAATATTTACAGATGGTGTGCTTGCTCTGTGTAAAGTGCTTGGGTCGGTAGGCTCTCTGAACTACTTGGAGAAATTCAGGGAATCTAGTCCTCATTTTGACTCCCAGCTCCTAGTACTGCTTCCTGAGAACACTCACATCTCTTCCCCAAGTTTTCCGGCTTCCTAGCTAGATGGTATGTATAGAGGTCCTGGCAAAAGTGGCTTGGGAAATCTTAGCAGCAAATTTAGGATAAAGGAATGAAAAAAATTTTTTAAAGGAATGCATGTGTTAAAACGATGTATGACTTAACCCAAGGGACCGTGGTATTTCCTAAGTCCATGGCAAGAGAGGTCATGCTCTTTCATCTTCTGCACCTAGCATCATTTCTGTCCATGTCCTCCAACCTTCCCCCTTGCCAACTCTCATGCCTCTTTCCCCACCGAAATGGGGGGCTTAGCTCCCTTAATGATACTGGTGTGAGGGGGCAGCTTCATGGCAATATTCACCCTGTTCCCAAGTCTGAACTGAGTTGGAAGCCAAAGAAGCTGCCAGACAAGAGAATTTCCCCAAAGAAAGAACAAATCCCCCCTGTGAGGACTTCAGGGTGGTAGCTAGCAGGCTGTTGTCTGGTGTCAAGAGCCAGGTGGTTTTCCTCTGCCTTGTTTTTGATCAGTGCCCTTCTTCTTCCTCCTCACTTGGCTCTAGTAGCTCTGCCCACTTGTTACTTCCCTCTCCTGCCCATTTATACACACGTGTGTGTGCCTGCGGTGGTAATGCTCTCATCTGAACATATTAGGGGACAAAAGCATGAACACATTCAAGAAATAACTTTAAGTTCCTAAGTCACCTTTCAAGTTTTCTTCCTGGTCTCTTTCAAACTTCCATTTTTCCTTCATTGCTTTTTCAACATCTTCTCTTGTTACAACTGGTAACCCGTCTGACTTCTCTTCACTCAGCTCCTTTAGTAGGTTCCGTATGTGCCAAGTCTGTTCATCCTTCAAGCGTTTGTTCTGTCGTGAAAATCAACAGTATGTAACTGCATCTGCTCAAGTATTTACCTTGACTTGCCTCAAAACCAATTCACACACTGAGGCTTGCAAAGTGAGAAAAAACCATTTAATGAAATAAGTTTATACAGTATCTCTAAGAGCTTATGGAACATGGAAGATGCAAAGTAAAATTAAACCCATCAACACAGTAACTAATGGATAGAAAGTTACGTTTAAAAAATTGTGTTATTAACCTCCCAGTCTATCACCCTAGGCAACAATCGCCTCAAAATCAACTCCAGCTCTAAAATAGGCAAAAAAAATCCAAAGATAGTGATCATTTAAAAAACAGTGAACATTAAAGTTAGACCTTGGAGGCTGATTTCTTCAGTCTCCCACTAAAACCTTCTTCTCCAGCAATCGTCACTCATTTGGTCAGTATTTATGAAGCATCTACCAGGCGGTCATCTAGACATTAAGAATACATCAGTGAACACTATATACAAAACACAGTGGCTCCTTCTCTTAGCCATAGGGTTTTGTCCAGGGGAAGCATGTGTCTCAAGCTAGGCACATGCTCAGAGGCCTTCCCTGGAAATACACTGAAACTGGTGGAAAACATGTCTGTTTTGTCTCCATTTTGAGGTTAAAAGGATGTAAGGTGAGGGGTGTCCATGGTCAGAGTTCCAGCCTCATGGGGACAATAGCCTTAGAGAAAGGATGCTTCTGTTGCAAAGATAAAAAATTAACCCAAAGTAGCCTAAGCATGAAGAGGATGTTAATTTTTTCACATAACCAAAAGGAAAAGGCAGGGTGCTACACCTGGCCCAGAGCCTCACGTGCTGTTGGATCTCAGCTTTTTCAAATTTTTAAAAATTTGCTCTCCCCCACTTCTCTCTCATCCCCTCTCCTCCTCTGCTCCCTTCTTCCCCCCTTATCCCTCTTCCCTCTCTGTCATCCCCATGAAAGTTGGCTCCTTTGTAAAATGGTACAGCTACTCTGTTAAAAAGGATGCCAATTTCTTATAAACATTTGCTTACCATACAACTGAGCTCTTAGGCATTTATCTCAGAGAAATGAAAGCTTATATTCACATAAAAACCTGTACACAAATGTTTCTAAAAGCTGTATTTATCATAGCCAAATACGGAAAACAACTCGCTTGTCTTTCAATAGGTAAATGGTTAAATAAATTGTGGTACATCCATATCACAAAATAAAAATGAATAAAAGGAACCAACTAATGATACATGCAGCAAACTGAATCTCCAGAGAATTATGCTGAATGAAAAAAGTCAATCCCCAAAGATTACTTACAAAGATTAATTACCAGTAAGTTATTTATATAATATTCTTAGAACAGCAAAATTATAAATATGGAGAACAGATTAATGGTTGCTAGGAGTTAATGAAGGGGTGGAATTGGGAGGGAGTGAGTGGCTGTAAAAGGACAATATGAGAGATGTTTATATTGATGGAAACGTTCTGTGTCTTGACTGTATCAATGTCAATATTGTTAATGTTAATATCCTACTTGTGATATTATACTATATTCCTGTAATATGTTATAGGAAACCAGGTTATGGTTACACAGGATCTCTCTGTATTATTTCTTATAACTGCATGCCTATCAATAATTATTTCAAAAAAGTTCAATTTAAAAAATCAAGGTCAATCAATATTAGCAACTGATAAACAATATATTGCTCTTTCATCAATTCTCAAATATTCCATTTTCTTGAATGAAATAGATTCAAGTTTTGTTTTCTTATAAATAAATTGAATTACTTTGGCTTGACATGAGTTATTTGAAAATGAAATATTTGTAGAAACTTGAATAATACCAATGAAACTATCCCTTGCCAAACTATTGCACTAATACTTTTTCCACATATGGACTTTTCCACTTATTTTTGTTAGAATTGGAAAATTCCTTTATCAAGTATAATCTGAATACTAAATAAATCTTTATCTGGTTTTATTTATGTTAGCTAATGTTAGTAAGGCGACAATCACCTCAAAATCAACTCCAGCTCTAAAATAGGCAAAAAAATCCAAAGATAGTGATCATTTAAAAACCACTACATATAATTCATAAAGAAATAATGTGTAATCAATCAACAAATTTTTCTCTTACTTTCCATACTTAGCACAATACTTGTCAAAGTGAATGCAGTCCTCTTTGATCAAACTTTTAACACATTGACTATTCTTTTCAAACATATGATATTTTCATTTGTAAATTAAAATAGTATCATGTCCTAAAAATGTAATTGAATGTTGCATAAATATGACTAAATCACAATTTGCATTATATGTAAATTTAATAACATCCATATTAAACTTCCCAAATCTCATAATGAATTTCAAATGGATGGGAAATGTGATTGACAACATGTTACAAAATTCACTATATCTGAAAAATTATTTTGAGTGATATATTGAAATACAGTTTAGTTAGCTATATTCACCAATGTGTTAAAGAAGAGACAGTTATCCTATAAAGTAGACAACTCTTATCCAAAGTAAGAATAATTGTCACACTATCAAATAGAAGAAAGGAGATTCAATAAATAAACTACAAAGAAAGGACTGATTTTGTTTTGTTATAAGGCCATCTCATGAACTTTACCTTTTTAAGTCTTTAAGATTCACAGGAGCAAGAACAGAAGTTGCCAAGATAGTACATAGATTTCTCCCTTACTATTTTCCTGCTTTCCCCAACAATGACATATAACCACAGCACATTATCAAACCGGAGAAATGGACATTGGTACAATGTTATTAAGTAAATTAGAGACTTTATTTGGATTTCCTCAGTTTTTATATGTGCTCATTTTAATTTTCTTGTGTGGGTATAAGTATTATGAAAATTTGTCACACACACACACATATATATATGTATATATGAGAATTACCACCATATAGATGGCATTTGAAGTTGTGGTGTTCAGTAAGATCTTTAGAGTTAAAGAGAAGAGTTGAGATCAGAACCCTGGAAAATACTAATTTAGGGGTGGGTCCAGGAAAAGAGCAATGAGTGAAAAACAAGGAATGGTTGGTGAATAGGGGGGAATATTAAGGGAGAGTGATGTCCTGGCAGCCAAAGAGAGTTTCAAGATGACAGGGATGACCGCTGAAGGCCAGAGGGGTAAAGTGAGGACTATAAAGAGGCCATTGGACCCAGCTACTTGGTCATTAATAACTTCTGCCCTAGTAGTTGTGGTGGAACAGGAGTGAAAGAATGAACCAGAGGTAAGGAAGTGGACACAGTGAACTATGAAATGTCTAATGAGGTAAGTGGAGCAGTGAATGCAAACAGAACAGTCCAAATAAAACTCATACAAAGGAAGAGATGATATGTAGGAAGGAAGAGGGGTATTTCTGATTTTGCCCTAACTGAAAAGTATGTCTTGCTAATGAGTCATGTTTAACTTAGCAATTAAATATCCATGACCTCAAAAATTTTTCCTTCCACTGGTGTTAGTGTGAATCAACTCAATAAATATTTATTGAACACCCACACATGCTGGGCCCTTCTGGAGAAACAAAGGTAAGTAAGATTTGACTGCTGCTGCCTAAAGAGCTTTCAGTTTAATAATAGTGCTTTCAAATTAATAATAACATTTGTATGTAGCATTCCAGCTTAGTTTGGGGGAATGAAAAGGAGCTAGCCAAGAGAAGAGCATTCCCGGAAGATGAAACAGCCTGCATAAATGTACAATAACGAGCGAGACTGGGTTTTCTTTTCTTTTTTTTTTTTTTAAAGATTTTATTTATTTATTTGAGAGAGAGAATGAGATAGAGAGAGCATGAGAGGGGCAAGGGTCAGAGGGAGAAGCAGACTTCCTGCTGAGCAGGGAGCCCGATGCGGGACTCAATCTCGGGACTCCAGGATCATGACCTGAGCCGAAGGCAGTCGCTTAACCAACTGAGCCACCCAGGCGCCCGAGACTGGGTTTTCCAAGATTTAAAAGAAGCAAGTGGTAAACAGATAAGGTTAGAGAGGTGAGCAGAGGTCAGATTTTGTAGGGCCTCAAAGACTTTAGTAAAGAGCATGGATTTAATTTTCTGTACAGTAGGAAGCCACTGTAGGGTTTTAAGCACTGAAAGATTTACAGTATTCGAAAGGTTCCACCTTGGAAAATGTACTGAATTAAAGAAGGATGGGTAAGAGATGGTGGCGGCTTAAACTGGTGCAGTAACAGCATAAATGGAAAGAAACAGATACATACAGTGGGAGCTAGAGTCTGTCTCTCCATGCTCCTCACTGCTGGGTCCACTGATGACCCCAAAAGAAGACATAGGCCTATCCCATTCTTAGGTGAATCCTCATGAAAATAAGAATTTTGTTTCTGGCTTCAAATGAGGGGCTATGGGAAAGCGATTCTTCAGTCCTGGTCTGTTGTCCTTTCCACAACCAAATGGAAGTCCAAGGCTGACCCAGGAGTCCCAGTGGTGACCCCTGGGCTATGTGGATTGGTCCCTTGATGGCAGCTCACTCCTCTCCCATGCTGTGGATCTCATCATGTGGAACTGCATCCCAGCACCTAGACCAAAGTTCCCCTTTCCATTCTCATCCACAGACCTGAGTTTCTGTTTGAGTCTGATAAACAGACTTTAGTGACTGATCCTGGAGAATCATGAGAATGTCAGGGTCACAGTTATATCACCACCATGGCATGTCTGGCCCAATAAATGTTGCTGAATCAATGGCCAAATTAGCCCTATTTGGAAGACAGGAATGCCCATGCTACAGGAGGGAAACTGAGCCTCCTACCAGTTTGGGCCAAAATGATACCAGCACTAAGTTGTACAGTCAGGATGTAAACTCAGGTCTCTGACCCCAGACTCCATTAAAACTTGTAGATATAGGGGCGCCTGGGTGGCTCAGTCGTTAAGCGTCTGCCTTCGGCTCAGGTCATGATCCCAGGGTCCTGGGATCGAGCCCCACATCAGGCTCCCTGCTCAATGGGAAGCCTGCTTCTCCCTCTCCCACTCCCCCCGCTTGTGTTCCTGTTCTCGCTGTCTCTCTTTCTGTCAGATAAATAAATAAAATCTTTTAAAAAAAAAAACTTGTAGATATAGTCATTTTAGACAAAAGCCAAATAAAACAGTTAACTGTGGAAGTTTTAGAGTCCATATAAATGCTTTAATAGGAAATAGTGTCAGTATTTCCTCATTTATGAGACACCTTAAGGGATAAGTTGTGTTAATTATCACTTACTGCTTCCAAATTGTATTTCTGCCAGTCTTTAGTCATGATGGTCATATACAGCATGGCTTTGATGTTCATTTTAATCTGATTTTATAAAAACAATATATCATCTTAAACATTGAGTCACTTTAACAATTGAGATTATACTTTTCAAATAATATTTACATAAGCACCCTCTGAAAATCTAAAAACAAAAAGATACAGAAATTAAAAACAGAGAACCAATGTTTTATACTTTGGCTAAATAAGAAGTTAAAAGATAAATGTGATTTCAGAGCCTTAAAATTTTGAACACAAGATTCAGGGTCATCATGATCTAAATAACACAGATCAAGCTGACTTCCTTTGACATGGTAATTAATATAATAGGAACAGCAGTGCCCTCTAGCCTTAAATGTACCAAAAACTAAGATTGTAAATTAATCAATTCTAAGCACTAAAGAATTTCCTAGAATACATGTCATCATAATTCACAATTTTTAAGGCATTTGTGTAAATGTTTAATAACTAGATATAAGCTTTATTTTTTTAATTTTTTAAGATTTTATTTATTTATTTGTCAGAGAGACAGAGTGCACAAGGAAGGGGAATGGCAGGCAGAGGGAGAAGCAGGCTCCCCGCTGAGCAAGGAGCCCGATGTGAGAATCGATCCCAGGACCCTGGGATCATGACCTGAACCGAAGGCAGATAGATGCTTAACTCACCGAGCCAGCCAGGTGTCCCTAGATATAAGCTTTAAATGTTATACTTACTCTTTCATGATACTTTTGGTTCTTTTCTCTAAGTCTCCTTATTTGAGCCATAAATCGTTCTACTGCATTTTCTTTTATTTGACAGCTGATAATAAACAAAGATGTGTTACAATTACTTATCAAGGAAAATTAATGAGAAACAAATTTAAAAATTAAACTATTTAGATTGAAATAAAGTATTAAATATATTATAAAAACCCATTTAAGGATAAGATACCTTCTTAAGTGATTTTTTTGTGTGTGTTTCTGAGTATATTTGACTCACTAAAATATATATTGGAGAGGTAACTTCAAGTTTTTTTCCTAAATCAATCCCCATTTGCATTTCACAGTCATAATTTTTATACTTTCTAATTATCTATAAATAATTCAGCTTAAAGGGAACGTAGGGAAGCGCACACAGAAAACATGCTTTCTAGAATTCTAAAAAATTCAGACAAAAATAACAAAACAAAGACTTTATAAGGGCAGGCACATCTTCTTGAAATAGTAAGATAAATGAGGCATACCTTTGGTTCAAGTTCGTTAGTATGCCATCTCTTCTATAAATAATAAAAGCTTTCCTGACACAAACACATTTCTTTAATACCCAACAAGATTTGTTGAGCATCTGTCAGGTACAAAGGAGAGATAGAACAGTGCAGAAAGACTTTGGTATAGGCCGTTTGACAGCTATTTGAAGTGCTAAGTATATCTCTATCTCTCTTTTACCCAGCAAATCTTGTAACTTTAAATTTGAGACCAAAGTAACACAATGGAAACAGCTCTGCATAAATACCTTGCCTCAATTAAAACAAAACAAAATAAAAATACAGCACCTCTGTGGTGTAGTGAACAGAGAGGTCGTTACAGAATGAGAAACTCTTGTTTGCCATCTTGTCCCTGTCACTTCTCACCTGTATGATCTCAGGCAAGTCACTTCTCTGAGCAACAGTTTCCAAGCTATCAGTGGTGATAACAATACCTACCTCTAATCCTATAAGGATTAAAATAAGAAATTGCATGTGAATGTTTCTAGCATAAAGTAAGTGCTTAGTAAATTTCAGTTGAATTTGAATCTTATATCAGTCCTGCTTCTCCACTAACTGCCTAAGGACTCTCACCCTAGTTAGGCTGTGGCTTACTCCTCTGTAGGTAAGACAATTGAAGGGGAAGACCTCGATACTGTTTCAGTTCCAAAATTCTGCAGTTTACATTGATCATTGTTCCCTTTCATGCAGTCACACAGACAACACATAACAGCACGTACAAGATTCAATGAGCCGCTGCTCTGTGCCCAGTATTGTTTATGGCATTATGGAGTTGGTGTTGAACAAGACCTCCATGACCCTTGCCTGCAAGGAGCTTACATTTTACTAGACAATGAAGAAGTAAACACCCAAACATACTACTTACCCATTGTTATGGGGGAAATAGCAGGCTATGACAGGGGTAGTAAATGGAAGGGACTACTATAAACAGGGTGGCTTCCACACAGTAGTAGGTATAAACCATCTTTTTACTTCTCACCTAAAGCTTAGATGTGGGGGCGCCTGGGTGGGTCAGTCGGTTAAGCATCTGCCTTCAGCTTGGGTCATGATCCCAGGGTCCTGGGATGGAGCCCCGCGTCGGGCTCCCTGCTCAGTGGGAAGTCTGTTTCTCCCTCTCCCTCTGCTGCTCCCCCTGCTTGTGCTCTCTCTCTCTCTCTGTCAATAGGTAAATAAAATCTTAAAAAAAATAAAGCTTAGGTGTGCAAAATTCTGAAGGAGTGCCTTCTCTAGCTACCATTTTTAAGGAGAAAAATTAAAATATTGTAAATGAGAATTATCTGAGAAAGGCCTATGCAAATGTATGAAAATTATGCAATTTCTGCAATTATAAATATGGTAACCTAATTCATTCTCTGCATGGGCGAAGCAGGCAAATGAATCTCAAGTATATGGTGTCCCTTGGAGACCAGGTCTTTGTGTGGTGTGGTTAATAGACTTACTCCTGGCTTCAGCTGAGAGGCTTCCTTGGTGATGACTGAGCATGCAAAAATGGGTCTGGAGACTCCACCCAGCCCCAACCCCAGATACTGCATGGCACACACTTATACTAAAAAAATTATTTCTCATTTATTTGAAAATCAAATTTAATTTGGCATTGTATAATTTTATTTGCTGTACCTGGCAAGCTGACACTTAAGTCTACCACCCCTCCGCTCATAGCAGTTAGGAGCAAATGACCTGGGGCTTTGTCTCGTGTTCCTTGGGAGCAGTTCAGAAAGATCTGAGTGGCACCAGCAGGCCTCAGGGGCAATTCTGAGGTGCCCTAAAGGTTTTGGTGGCTTCGTTGCTCCAGTTGTGGCTCACATGGTAGTTGTAGGTCTAAGTTAGCTGAGCCTTTCCTTGGAATTTACTTCAACCTCCATGGGTCTCATGAAGATGAAACTGAACTTCAGAATTCCACACTATCAGCCACTTGGGAATTCGAGCTTCACTGTTTTCTATATACTTTTTCCTTTTCAGATCTCCCTCAGATGCCATTGTATGCACATGTCACACTAAATATTGAAGCAAGTGGGATGATAAGCCAATGAGATAATATATATTAATGTGGTTCGAAAAGGATACACACTATTCTAAAGCACAGTGATAGGAAATGGTTAGTAATACAACAGGTCACCTTTTCCCTTCCCTCTCTGTATTACTAAGATGTTACTAATGTGTCAACTTTCTCCCTCCAGGCAATTTCACTGAAAATTCAGAGAAGGAAAACAAATAAATCTGGATTTTTTTTTTAGAGAGAGAGAGAGAGTGAGAGCATGGGGTGGGAGGGGTAGAGGGAGAGGGAGAGAAAGACTCAGTGCAGAGTCTGACATGGGGCTCGATCTCATGACCCCAAGATCACGACCTGAGCTGAAACCAAGAGACAGATGCTTCATGACTGTGCCACCCAGGGGACCCTAAATTTGGATTTTTAAAAAGAATTTATACTTTTATCTATTTTTTAACCTATAATCATAATCACACCTATTTCTATATTCATACTCATTGTAGAAAACTGGGGGAAAAACAAGTATAAAGGAAGAAATTAAAACCACCTTTACCTAGAGATGATGATTACTTTATAGATTTAGCATTGGCAGTCTCAGCTCTTCACAAACTACCATAGAGGATCATGACTTTATCTTTTGGGGATAGATTAAAAACATGTTTAGTTGTTCAGAAATCATTGACTACCTACTATGTTCTCCCAGCTCTTTGTTAGATGAGATTGTATAAGAGAATTATAAGATGCTGCCAGGGGATCCTTGGACAATCCTTTCTCAGAAAGTGAGGGGGATGTTTTGGCTATTGGTCATGTGACAAAAGGTCTGTCACCTGGGAACACATGCAATGAGTCAAGTGTCCCTAACAGAGTGACAGTGTAAAGCAAGGCCTTGACTGTTCCAGTCCACAAGATTATTTATTTAGTCTTAACAGGGAGAACAAAAGCATGAGATGTTCAATTTATATCTTGCACTAGATCATGAGAATTTTTAAATGTTTGTCTGTTTGTAAACCTCTGTGAAAGAACAGAAACACAGGCCTCTGACTGACCTAGAAGAGAAAGAAACAATTGTATCTGGATGTCACCAACGTAAACCATAGGAGCAAATTAGAGACCAGATTGTATTCACAGAGCCTGAGTTTTTGTCCTACTCTCCAAAGATGAGACGAGGGAAGTTTTCGGTTACGCTGACAAATGAGGGCAGGTGGTTTCTGGTTATAACTTAATGTCTCAAGTAGAAAATAAAGGGGGACTTTGTTAAAATTCCCTTCCCATGCATGTTTCTCTCTTAGTGTTCGGACCCTTTCACTCACTGAAAAGAATAGACAGATAGATTTGGAGTTTCTCAAGGAGAAGGAAATGGATTTTCTCTGAATGTTGTTCAGAATAAATCTCTTAAAGACCAGCGTCACCAGCATCACGGGCTCTGCACATGCAGCCTTTTTCCCCTCCAATAAATAGTTTCCCAGTCCCAAATCTCAAATGCTTCACGGGGCTTGGCTTATCTCACCCTTACCCATGCCACCAGTCTGCTCTTACCCTCTCTCCCGCACTCTGCCTTCTCTCTGTTCCTGGACTCTGTAAAGCTCTCCCTCACCCCAGCGTCCTTTCCATAAGCCTTTCTCTCCTCCACCCTATGTCTCCATAACACCTGTTCCTCTGCCAGGGATCAGCTCCAAAGTCCCTCCCTCAAACAAGCTTTTCCTGACCTCTCTGACCATATCAAGTCCTTTAGTTAAACTGTTACACAGGACCCTATACTTTTCTTTCATAGTGTCTTAACTGTAGCTATGCAATTTTTTAAAAAAGCTTCAAGTATTTATCTAATGTCTGTCTCCTCTGCCTCATCAAGCAGGAACTGGGTGGTCTGTTTGCTGTTGTCCCCCAGCACTTGCCTTGGACTTGGTAAACATTCAAGCACTTGTTCAGTAAATGCATGAAGTACATGTTTTTGTTAAAAAATTATTTTTTAAAAATGTTAATTCCAGTATAGTTAGCGTACAGTGTTATATTAGTTTCAGATGTACAATATAGTGATTCAACAATTCTATACATTACTCAGTGCTCGTCATGGTAAGTGTATTCTTAATCCCAATAACCTATTTCACCCATCCCCCCACCCACCTCCCCTCTGGTGACCATCAGTTTGTTCTTTGTAGTTAAGAGTCTGTTTTTGACTTGTGTCTTTTTTTCTTTGTTCATTTGTTTTGTTTCTTAAATCTCACATATGAATGAAATCATATGGTATTTCTTTCTCTGACTGACATTTCACTTAGCATTGTACTCTGTAGTTCCATCCATGTTGTTGCAGATGCTAAGATTTCATTCTTTTTTATGGCTGAGTAATATTTCATTAAATTATTTATATATTATTTATATTTATATATAATAATGAGATATAGTTATAATAATATATAATTATATAATTTTATAAATATACAATTATATATATTATGTATAATGAAATATATATATATGCATATCTATATATATTATCCATTCCTCTTTATCCATTCATCTATCGATGGACACCTAGGCTGCTTCCATAGTTTTGCTATTGTAAAGAATGCTGCAATAAACAGGGATGCATGTATCCCTTTGAATTAGTGTTTCTGTATTTTTTGGGTAGTGCAATTACTGAGTCTGTAAGGTAGTTTTATTTTTAACTTTTTGGGGAATCTCCATACTGTTTTCTACATGGCTAGATCAGTTTGCATTCCGACCAACAGTTGACGAGATTCCTTTTTCTTCACATCCTCACCAACACTTATTGTTTCTTGTGTTGTTGATTTTAGCCATTCTGACAGGTGTAAGGTGATACCTCATTGTAGTTTTGATTTGCATTTCCCTGATGATGAGTGATGTCGAGCATCTTCTCATGTGTCTGTTGGCCATCTGGATGTCTTCTTTGGAGAAATGTCTGCTCATGTCTTCTGCCAATTTTCAACTGGATGTGTGTGTGTGTGCGTGCGCTGAGTTGTATCAGTTCTTTATATATCTTTATATATCTTATTCTATATGTCATTTGTGAATATCTTCTCCCATTTAGTAGGTTACCTTTTAGTTTTGTTCATCGTTTCTTTTGTTGTGCAGAGCTTTTTATTTTGATGTAGTCCCAATAGTTTATTTTTGCTTCTGTTTCCTTTCCTTCAGGAGACATATCCAGAAAAATGTTGCTATTGCTGATGTCAGAAAAATTACTGTCTCTGCTCTCTTCTAGGATTTTTATGGTTTCAGGTCTCACATTTAAGTCCTTAATCCATTTTGAGTTTATTTTTGTGCATGGTGTGAGAAAGTGGCCCCAGTGTCATTCTTTTGCATGTGGCTGTGCAGTTTTCTCAACACAATCTATTGAAGAGACTGCTTTTTTTCCATTGGATATTCTTGCCTCCTTTGTCAAAGATTAGTTGACCATATAAGCACGGGTTTATTTCTGGGCTTTCTATTCTGTTCTATTGATCTGTGTGTCTATTTTTGTGCCAATACCATATTGTTTTGATTACTACTGCTTTGTAGTATATCTTGAAATCTGGGATTGTGATACCTCCAGTGTGGTTCTTTTTTAAGATTGCTTTAGCTATTTGGGGTCTTTTGTGGTTCCATACAAAGTTTAGTATTATTTGTTCTAGTTCTGTGGAAAATGCTATTGGTATTTGGATAGGGATTGCATTAAATGTGTAGATTGCTTTAGGTTGTATGGACATTTTAACAATATTTGTTCTTCTAATCCATGTGCATTTGCTTGTGTCACCTACAGTTTCTTTCATCAATGTTTAATAGTTTTCCAAGTACAGGTCTTTTACCTCCTTGGTTAAGTTTATGCCCAGCTAGGGGCGCCTGGATGGCTTAGTTGTTAAGCATCTGCCTTCGGCTCAGGTCATGATCCCAGGGTCCTGGGATCGAGCCCCACATCAGGCTCCCTGCTCAGCAGGAAGCCTGCTTCTCCCTCTGCCACTCCCCCTGCTTGTGTTCCCTCTCTTGCTGTCTCTCTCTCTCTATCAAATAAATAAAATCTTAAAGAAAAAATTACGCCCAGCTATTTTATTCTTTTTGGTGCAATTGTAAATGGGATTGTTTTTCTTAATTTCTCTTTCTGCTACTTCATTATTAGTGTATAGAAATGCAACAGATTTCTGTATATTGACTTTGTATCCTGCGGGTTTCTTGATTTCATTTATCATTTCTAGCAGGTTTTTGGTGGAGTCTTAGGGTTTTCTATATATAGTGTTATGTCATCTGCAAATAGTGAAAATTTTACTTCTTCCTTACCAATATGGTTGACTTTTATTTCTTTGTCTTTTCTGATTGTTGTGGCTTGGACTCTGTTGAATAAAAGTGGTGAGAGTGGACATCCTTGTCTTGTACCTGACCTTAGGGGAAAAGCTCTCAGTTTTTCACCACTGAGTATGATGTTAGCTGTGCAGTTTTCATAGATGGATTTTATGACATTGAGGGATGTTCCTTCTAAACCTACTTTGTTGAAGGTTATGAAGTGTATTCTTATGTGGAAAAGACTGAAATGAATTCATTCACTCCCTAAGAATTACACATTAAAACACCTACCGTGTGCCAAAAACTGAGGTTCAAGATCTCTCCAGAGATTTACTGTTTATGAATTGGATAAAACATAAACATAGAGTATCTTACCTCTGGTTTTGTCTCCAGCTCCTGGGAGTGAGACACTAGGAAATATTTTTATTAAAAATAATTGCATCATTTGGATTTGGTCTGCAGCCACTGGAGATAATACTCATTGGAATGTCTAGAAATGAAAAATCGTTTGTTCTTCTATAAATGTACATGAACTATTCTATATTGTACTTTAAGAGATAAGTCAGCCCGCTGTTACAAACTGCGTATACAGCATGTGGGAAAGTGACCAGTAGAGGGAGAGAGGGAGTCAAAACCACATTAACAAATGCTGTTTCATTGCTACTACTTGGAATATGTTATAGTCAAAGTTTCAGAAACTTTAAAAAAGATGCACATAGCACAAGAGTGCATTTATGCTTCCAGTCTAACTCCAGTCTAGCTCTCTTGACAGCTTTTGAGTACATCACTTTCCATTTGGAGTTACATGAATCTTAACAGTGATTTCCATTTACATATGGGAATGTTTGGATTCCATAATCTAAGCTTACTGGTAGTCTAGAAGTGCTTCACTGGTAGGCAATTTGACTTCTTTGTGTGGCCCATCTTGAATATCCTTTTTATTTGCTTTCGCTGTGTTATCCATTGTGTTGCTTAGTTAGTAAGAAGCATACCTGTTTAGAAAAGAAACAGGGAAAGTAAATAAATTCCATCTTTGCCCCTCTACTTGTGCTTACTCAAGATGAGGAACTGCTGGGACTTAATTTAAAACTGTTTTTTCCATGTCCCCAGACCTATCATCCACCACAATGCTGGGACATCACGAATCAATGGATTCTTGAGTCTGGTAAGTTCCATGTTTGGCCGGTACAGCATTTCCCCACCCAAAACTTTCTAAGAGACTCATCCCCTTATATTATCCATCTACATCTGTTGTCCCTATCGAGTTCTTTTAAGAACAAGGACTAAACTTTTTCAGCAATTTTTTTCTCCGCAGTGTTTGGCAAAGTGCACTGCATGTAGTAGCAGCTCAGGAAATGTCTGTTACTTTTTTTAAATTAAGATAAAACAAAAGCACAACTTTCTATGGGCACCAAGAAACTAGAATCCAAAAGATCAGGTTTGACCAGGGTTGTTATAAAGAGCAAATAAAAGCACATATTCAAATGTTTTTTAAATGGCTAAGAGGTTTACAAATGAAAAATAATAGTAATAATAATTATTATTAACAGTAACTGCTCATCAGCTATTAATTGCTTTTTAATCAATAATAAAAATTATCAAAAATAATATATTTTAAAAGTAAAAAATTAGGTCCACTATTCACAGATTTTTATAGTAAGCAGGAATAACTCATGGATTTTGTATAGGTACTAAAGTACTTCTTTTCAGATTATATAGTCTTCGGTAATAGATTTTTATCTAATTTCCATTAATCTCAAAAAAATGAGTGCCTAAACTTTAATCAATGTATTAGTAGTTGAGTATGGTAGAAAGAATTTAGCCTTTTTAATGATTTATTTGATGGCTGGAAACTCCATGAGAGTGGGAATGATATAATTCTTGTGCATTAATCTATTTCCCCACCTAGCACAGGCAGATGCACGATAAATTCTTGTCAAATGAAAAAATGGATGGATGAATCAGGGAGACATGTTTTAATCCCAGATCCACCACCTATTGTCAATGGACCTTGAGTAGGTTACTTAATCTTTTTGAGCTTCAGTTTCATTATCTGTAAAGTGAGAGCAAAAATCTTACTCTAAAAGCCATTGTAAGGATTAAATAAGCTAATATTTTAAGCACCTAGCATAGTGGCTGATATATAGAAAGAGTTTAGTTAAGTATTATGGCCATTTGGTTAAAGCTCCAAATCATGCTTCTTCAAACTCCAGGTACCTATAAAGCAGAGGATGTCTGCTTGCTGCCAAGTATGATGATATGTGGAAAAACTAATCCATGCGGTCTGCTATTGTCAACCTTCATCATTGATTTGGGTCACTGAATCGGCAATCCACATAGATCACTGAGATCCACAGTGGAAAATCTCTCTGAAATGAAATACATTTTCCGAGACCTCGAGCCAGGCTCAGTCTTTGTGTCTCAGACTTTTCCAGCCAAGGGTGTTCATCTCTCTCTTCTAACAGATTCGAGTATACCTGAATGCAAACATACTATAACACCTTCCCGCTGAAAAGCACACAGGTGACACAACAGAAAGACTTAGCACATTAGGACAGAATAATATATTAAGTGGTATCTTCTCAGATACGAAAGTATTGTGAACAATTCCATAAACAACACACTAAAATGTGTCATTATACCATCACGGTTCACAGAAACTTATCAGCTGAGAAAAAAAGTGCTTTCGTTTTAGATACAGAGTTGAATTTTAATATTATTTTCTATTTTAGAATTAGACTTTTTAACTTGACTATTGCGCAAAAAGATAACATGCTGACCAGTGTTTCATTTTACAACAATAAGTTACTATTTAACAGTGATTTTTATTATAAATATTTCATTTAAAAGTTAAAACAAATTCTAACCTTGATCTCTCGTTTTCTTTCTGAGTCATATGGAAGAGATCAAGTGTTACAGTTTCCACCTACAGTACCCATCTGGTGCTGGGGGAAAAATGACCTCATCTTGTTCAATTACCTCAGTTACCTGGCTCTTAGGTTTTCAGTTCTCTGCCTAAAGTATAATTAGTTATGTAACTGCAGCTCATGGAAAAGGACTTTCATAAAATATGAGTGAAAATGTGGATCCATGAAGCACAAATGATTGATGCATAAACTCTATTAATATTCATTGTTTCACATACTTTCCAGAAAATTAGTAAGCATTGGCTTGCCCTCTTATTAGATGTATTTTTGCAATGAGCTAATGACTTTACTTCAGAAAGTACTTCTACATTTGATAAGGTCCTACAAGCAGTGGGAGTTTCATAAACATTCACAAGGATTTACAGTTCCTGACCATCTAGAGGATTTCTAACTCTGCAAAGGGTGAGCATCATAGAAAAAAAAATTCACAAAGTAACATAATTATCTTCCAGGCAGGTTTCACATGACTAATTCTTGACAGAGGGACACCTAATCTGTCTATCAGTAACTGCAAACATCTATTCAGCACCAGCTCTGTGCATGGCTTTACCTGGCCCTTAATTATAAAATATGGAAGAGACAAGGTCTCTACTCAGACAGATGGGAAGAAAGAAGCATACTCCAGCAGAACTTTAAGAAAATAATGAGCAACTTTAAAAGACTAGAAAGATTGTGCAGGTAATGAAGGCTCCGGAGATCTCTGCCCACAGTGTGACCTTTTGTGCTGTTTTTCCTCTCCCAGCTCTGTTTGGGCATTCAATAACATACGCCATGGAGGGAGGGCAGGCAAGGAGGCTGGGTTTGAAAGACTCAGGTCTCCAGCCTTTTCAGAGACCACCCCATAATCACTTTCCATCAGAAAATGTTTCAAAATATATTCCCTGAATGCTTCTCGGTGAAAAGTAAGAAGTCTGTTTGGATAAAATGGACATATAATAGCCATCTTCTTCAAATATGCTGTTACCCCATAATGCTTTACTTGACTCTGCAAAATCACCCAAAAAACAAAGAGTGCATTGTCAGGATCCTGGCTCAATATCTAGAAAGTCCTAATGACTTTTTTCATGACTTTGTGGAGCCACGAATATCCAGAAGCCTCCTAATGACTCTTTTCAAATTTTGTGGGGTCTGGGAGGGATGGCAGTTCTGCCCTGATACCTTTCTGGACATTTGGAATGAATTCTGATGTTTGTTAGCCAATGTTTTTACATAAAAATGTAGATTAAAATGGAAGATATTTACTTAATAACATTAGTAATGGCAAAAGTTCTGAATAAGATTCCATCAGAGGTTTAGTTAAAAGATCTCTATATGGGTGTTGGGAGTCTTGAAGTCTATCTAGTGCTGACTCTGCCATTAACTAGCTATAAATGTGTAACTCTAATAAATAATAATAATGTCTAATATCTCACTATAGTGTTAATTGCAATATATATTTGAAAACATTCATGGCATTCATCCTCAAAAAAACACAACTCCTTTAATACTGAATAACAACTAATCACTTCAACAAACCATATTTGGGTTTTCAAAAATATATGTTGGCACATAGGCCAGCATCTCCCATGGATGCAAACTGGATGTTCAATAAATGTCTAATTTGAATGACTGACTTGCAAATAATGTGTACTCACTTTCTTTACCAATGGCCCTATTTATTTGCTCATAATATTGTATATACCCTTAATTTAGAAAGTAAAATTTATTTATTTATTTATTTATTTATTTATTTATTTATTTATTTATTTATTTATTTATTTATTTATTTTAAGTATGCTCCATGCCCAGTGCAGAGCCCAACGTGGAGCCCAATGTGGGGCTCAAGACCCAAGCCAAGATCAAGAGTCGGATGCTCAACTGACTGAGCCACCCAGGGGTCCTGAAAGTAAATTACTTTCAAATTCAAATTCTCACTTATGGTAAAACATACTTTTAATACAATTTTTAAGTGTTTTAGAAATGTTCTTCAGTGTATCTTAAAAAACCCTGAATTCATTTAAAGCTTTTTAGTAGTGAGAATATCACCTAAGAGTTAGCTTAAAACAAATTCAGTTCTCCTTTTTTATTGATTGTGTATATACAGCCCAAAGCAGCTTTAAAATGTAAAACACAGCCAGTTTGGAGATATGTTAAACCACCATATATTCAAATTAAGGTATTTAAAAATATTTGGATAAAAGTGCCTGGTTGGCTCAGTCTCAGGGTTGGGAGTTCAAGCCCCATGGTATGCAGCCTACTTAAAATTAAAAAAATAAATAAATAAAGTTGTATGGAGCCTACTTAAAATTAAAAAAATAATAAAGTTAACTATTATTAATGTACCTTATATTTTAAAAAATAATAAATAAATAAATAAATAAATAAAATATCTGGAGAAATGATATTTTTAACTTTCACTTGCCTAATTGATGATTTATGTTACATTACCATGTATTTTCTTTACCAATGCAAATCCTTTGGTCAGTGGCACATTTCTGAACTGCAGTTCTCAAATTATACTGGATTCTTACCTTAAAAATTGGTCTATCTTCTGATCCAGAATTGCTCATGACATAGTTTGAAAAGCACTATATTATACTAACTTCTCTAGCAACCAGAACTACATTCCCCCCCCAACTCCTGCTGTCTTTCAAGCTTAGAAATGTCACATTTTCACATTCATCGTGAAAAAATATTGTGAGGATAATGGAACTACAGGTAGTATTTTCATCCTCTGATGGTGGAGGAGAACAAAAAGGCTTCTAGCTTCAAAGAACAGTGGTGAATATGAAGAAAATCTATTGGAGCCAGGTCTTGGGGTGGCAATAAGGAAATCCATGAGGGGTTATCACACACGTAGTGATAAATACCCAATCTTGTTATTTTCCTTCTCTGCCTTCACAGAAATATATATGTGTATATATATTTTTTTCTTCAATGGGACCTCCCATTGAATTCCACCTCCCAACCACCTCCTCAGCTCTCTTGCCCAGCAGAAAATTAATCATGGAGTAAGAAGGGGGGTGAAGAAGCAAGGTACTATACAAATCTAACAAAGTAATAAAAGAAATAAACGAAGTGTCCTGTTCGGAAGGATGTTGCAGCATCCAGGGCAAGGAGCTGAAGCCAATCTGTGGATTGGGAGGGCGAGGGTGAGGCCATCGACAACACTCAGGGCACTGAGGACGTACCCACGCGGGAGGGCTATTGTGCTCCTCCGGAGAAGGACGCAGGATGTGTGAGCCTTCACTCAAAAGGC